AATTCTATATAGATACCCTATTACCTATTACCTACTACATAAGAGTATTTAGGACGATTCCTTTTAGGACGATTAGGTACGACTACCTAATTAAATGAAACAACGATCCACTTTGACTCTGTAAGTTCATTCGGAATAGGTACCATCATAGGCCAGTGACATGACTTTAACTTATGAATAGTCAGCGATATTATTTTCATTATCTTTTTATTGGTACAAAAATGCATTCATAGTACAGAACCAAAATGAAGTAAAACTTTATTTCTATCGTATTTTTTTATTTATTATCTACAATACCATTTCAAAACATTAATATAAGTAAATATTTCTATTCTCTACTGTTTCAATTTTACTTTCTCTGTGGCCAGTGCTAATTTCCTGATGTTGCATAGACAACCAGCTGACGCTTCTTGCAGTACTGGATCCTTGGATCCTATTGTCTCTAGAAGAAACTGAACGACACCAGCCTGGAAGCAAAATACATGTTTATTGACATTTGACAGGGCCGCATTAGGCTTGAATTGAAGGGCCCCAGTGGCAATCAACTCGCGGGGCCCCGGCTCCGAGACCGAATAAAGATTACATGATCGTTTCTTTGTATGCCCGTTCTCTATCTTAACCTAAATGAATAAAATGTACTATAAAATATTGTTGTTCTCTCAGACAAAAACCAGTTTGCTTACATACATACATACATAACATCACGCCTTTTATCCTCGAAGGGGTAGGCAGAGGTGCACATTATACCACTGTACAATGTAACTGTTTGCTTACAATACGACAAAATAAGATATCTTGTAGGTACTTGTATTTGTCTGGTGCAACTAAGGATGTTGAACTAAAAACGCAATTCAAAATATCGTGTTTGCATACCAAAACTTTAATATCAGTTGAACAAATTATCTTATAAGGGAAAGATAAATGTTAAAAATTAAGACTTATAAGGAAAAGACAACATTAAATAACTCTTAGTACTTTAGTAAATATTTGTATTTTGGTTACTTAATTTCAGTTCCTCGAGTCACTACAATCTAAGTGTTCACTCTAACAATATTTTTCTTATTTATACATACCAACTTAGAATCAACGGTACCTATACAAATTCTACATTACCATTGGTGACAATTCCTGGTAGTTCTAGCCACACCGTTTTTCGTACCGAATTCGGTCCAAGTAAAACTACCAAACCACTGAATATATACAGTGGGTACGTTTTCATGTCGCATGTTTTCATTTAATAGGAAGGATATAGAAAAACGAAAGTGAAGTCATAAGACCTTTTTTATCGAAATTATCTCAAGGTAGCTTAATCAGAGCAAAACTGTTATTTATGAACGTACCTTCCTAATTACGTAACTACGGATTAATTAAAATAACCTTCGTTCATTTAGAAAATCATAACGTAGACAAAATAAGCACCAAGACTATTAAACGTACTTAACGCCACTGTACAATGTAACACCCACTTTTCACTATTTATGTTTTAAGTCCCATGTAATAGGGGGTGAGCCTATAGCCATATACCGGGCACATTTCCAGACTTCGTGCTATTACTGAGATTTTTTTTTAAAACCCTGTAATACTTTGCCCGACACGGGAATCGAACCCGAGACCCCTTGCCCGGCAGTCACACTTGCGACCACTCGGCCAATGAGGCAGGCAGCAATTGCTTATTAGTAGGTACCTAATACCTATGCAGAAATGCCTATTGTAAAGTTAGAAATAGTTTCTGTGGCAAAAAACTCCTTGCTATATGACTTTTCCGGTAATTATGATTATAATAATTCATAATGGTAACTAAAATAAATTCGCACCATACTTAACTACCATAATTAATTCTTTTTATATCACAAAATTACTGCCAAATCCAGAACAATGAAAATATTTTTAACAAAATCACGATATTCTTAAACAAACTGCAAAAAGTAACGAAAACAATAGTGAGAACATATTATGTATATGAATAATTAAATAATTGCAATACTTAAGATCTATTTAAATTCATCATCAACGAAGACATATTGTTTTTCAACAGCATCGTTACTAATAATGTAATCTCCCTAAATAAATATCGTATTAACACAAATTTTATTAAACATCTTTAAAATAGACGAAACTATATTCGTTGCGCAATAAGTCATACACAGCATTCGTAGAACCACACACAAAAAGACTAAATTGAACAAAAACTGAGACTCGTTAGCAACTTAATAGTAGACTGTAATGTAAAATTAAGGAAATGAACAAAGGTTATTTTTCGCATTCATGGCATCAAATGAAATATTAATGTAAAAATTCTACTCACGGCATGCATGGTGACACAGTTCAATGAATAGAAGGAGAGATGATACAGTGCCAGTGCCGTAGACCTGTGCACATTAGGGTCGCGTGACGTCATGTAGTTCACCAAAGGAGTAATGGCACCACGCTTGCCAAACTCCTGGCGGTTCTGAGCCCATTCACAACAATAAGCGATCGCCACGCCAAGATTCGCTCGAAGATGGTCATCTGTCGTGTTCACTGTAAATAATATCGGACTAATGTCATCAAGTTTCCGCTTTTATTATGTTTTCTGAGATTAGGCACTTGTTTATACCAATTTTCCTTTCATAAATAATTCAAAGGACTCACCTAACTTTGACAGTTTAGGAACAACTCCATGATCCGAAATAACAGCGAGATTCTCATGATCTCTTGCGATAGTAGCTATGGCGGCACATACGGCAGATAAAACGTTGTGGTCATCAGAATCTAGCAAGTCAACTGTCAGTTCCAAAGCACCCACAAACGATCTGACCATTTCGCCAGAGTCTGCAGCATTCTGCACGCAAGGGCTCAGAGCTAGCGCCGCGTTTGTTTGTACCTTCTTGGAATCATTTTTGAGTAATGACCAGATAAGTCTAACACCATCTAGTCGGTCTATTTCCGCCATACAGTTTTGTTCTTTGGCACACTCCATTAGAACTAGTGGAACATTCTCTAAAAGTGGCTTATGAGTGTTGTTCAAATGATGTGCTGTAAAAAATATTTACCAAAATGTAAGTAACCTTGTATGAATATCTTACTAAACTTTTATACATATATACTACACATAAACAAGGTTATACTTACTGAGCATCGGTATTCCACCAGCGATCCTAATCTTTTCTCTGTTCGGTGGGTACTTGGCACATTCTGCCAATGCACCAGCTACATTAGTCAATACTCCGTCATTTTCATCATCCAACAATCTGACTAGTATTGGAACGGTACCCAGGCTATCCAGCCTTTTGACACTGGTATCACTGGTAGCACATTTCCAGATAGCTCCAGTTGCAGCTGCCATCAAAGGCTTGTTTGGTCTATTAGAGGTGTCTGATATAGCTTGAACCAGTAGCTCCAATCCACCAGCGTCACGTATCATGTGTCGCGTCGCCGGATCACTAGCGCATTTGTAAATAGCCAAACTGCAGTATGTCTAAAAATAATATTGCAAATTTAACATGAATAAATATTTGCACATTTTTACGAAATATAATATTGATGAAGCCTACAATACTAACCTCGGTCGGTCTTTACGTACCTTTAAGTCTTTGTCTTCATTAGCTAGATGTTTAATCAAGTCATCTACCATCTTCTCAGTTTGGATAGCAAGTTGGAATGACGTTTCGTTAGCACACATCTGCAATAACCCCGCCGCAGGGACAGCTACATCAAGGTGAATAGTTTTCAGCATTCGTGCTATCAAGGGAATCATGCCATACTTTCTCATAGCTTCACGATTTCGTTGTGATGCCGACATTGACCAAAGTGCTTTCGCTCCCGCCCTTGCGATGTCCAAAAACTGGAGTTCATGTTGATTCAGGCTTTCACGGGGTGTCAGCAAAGCTCTGAAAGTACCCGTGTAGGTAATATTATGTTCAAATTATGGTAATAATATGTGTCCACTCAATATTAGTATATTTCTATAGGTACTTACTTTTCTCTTATATCCAACAGATCAATTAGTTTAGGTATACCGCCAAATCTTCTGCAGAACTTTCTGCTTTTCCTTATTCTGCCCAAATTAGCTATGGTTTCTGCTGCTAAGATTTGAACGTCTCTCGCAGGATCTGACAGTAATCCTACTAACAACGGGATTGCTCCCAAGTCCGTCACTTTCTTCCTTATTTCAATGTTTGGAGTTATATCTTTAAGCACAGCTAAACCTCCTAAAATACAGCATAAATCTCGGGTTTCTAATAAATTCACTAGCAGCTCTAACCCTCCGATCTCTTGTATTGCCCTTTGATTCACCTCTATTGTAAGATCATGGTCTTTCAGACATGATAGAGCTACCATAGTGGCTGTTTGGTTTCCTGCCTTCATATATTTTACTAGTTTCTGTATGTGCCAGTATTCTGGAGGTATCTCTGAAGATTTAATGAGATCAGCCCAGTTGTCTTCCTCTGGTGACGTTGACGAAGGGGAAGATGCTGATGTATCCGACCCCTCAGTCACCATCACAATGCGAGGCAGCCCGACGGTGTCTTGTCCACCATCAGCGCTGAATGTCGAAATATTATCTTGTTCCATGATGTTTAATTAGAATTCGTTAATAATATGATATAAATAAGATTTGTAAATAAAATTAGTCTTGTTAGTACGTGTTGCCAAGCTTGTGTCTTGGGTCTTGTCAATATGGTTGCTAAGCAATGTTTTATTCCTTTTCTTGGGGCAATCATGAACAGCAAAAACAACTGTAACACGTAAAAAGTGTTGTTCAAGAATCCACTTTTTGTACAACTACAATATTTTCTCAAATGGAAATACAGAAAAACAAAAAAGATGTTTAATAACACAACTACAACATGTTTTTAAGCTAAAGGCCAAATATTTTAGATGTAGAATCCTTACTATAAGATAATAGTGGGTTGAATTCATTTATTGGGAGAGCTAATATTCTTTGGGTGGCATTATACCAAATGTATATTAATTATGTATCTTAGCATGGATAACTTATGATTTATTTATTGTTTCAGTTCCGAAGGAGTGTGAAAGATGTTTTAAAACCAGAACACAATGATCATTTTCTGCTGCGATGGCTCAGAGGTGAGTGGATAATTCATAAATTCTCCATTTATATTTTTATATACATACAACTACTGAAATGCTAATAAATCTAACTGAAACGAATGTAATTTGGGTTTATTTAATCTTATCGATACTTAACTCGTCGAGTCCCGGTTTTATAGACACAATTAAAGAACAATAGGTCGCGGTCACCGGTGACCGCGACCTATTGTTCTTTAATTGTTAGTTTAGTTGTTTTGCACTAGGTAACGTGTTCTATTATTCTATAATAGGTATAAAAAATATTGCATTAAAGTTGGAATAGGGACCCAAAACACAAATAAGTAAATTAAAATTATATTGTTTTTGTTTTATTATTTGAATACAAAGCGAATTTGACTAACCTTGAGTTTTTAATTGATTTAGAAAATGGAAGCTTCCTTGTACAAATTAAATCAGTAATGTTTTTGTCAGAATGCATGTAGTGTTTGAAAAGTCGTAATATACCTTGCTATTCAGTTGTCAGGTCTTAAAGTTAACCTATTTTCCATTCCTTTTATTACGTTATTTATTATTTATAACATTTATTACGAGATTAGTAGTGACTGGAACTCAATTCTAGACTCCACAACTGCAAATAGCAAGATTTGTCTTTACACACGCGAAACAATTGCCATATAATTATGCTATTCATGGAAATATTATGTTGTTCCTCTCAATAGACTCGGGTCTATTTGAAAATAAACTATACTTTTAACTTAAAACATGGTCCACAAAGCAAACAGTGAAGTTGACTGACCAGTCCTAAGTGCGTCAGAAATGCAGATTATTTGTGTGATTAACAGAATATTCATTGTTCTCTGTTAAGAATAATGTCGGATAAAATAATGTTATTAACATACTAGCTAATATTTTTTAAATCCTGCCTGGACTTCCACGGACATTTCAAGACCAAAATTAGCCAAATTGGTTCAGCCGTTCTCGAGTTTTGGCGAGACTAACGAACGGAAATTAATTTATATTTCTATAGATTTACACATTAGTTGCTCTTATCAACTGATTGTTGTTTGCAAACATGTTTTTGTTCTTATCGGATCACCAACGAAAATGTCTACCTATAAGTAATAATATTATTTAGATTCACACAAAAACATTTTCATTTTCAGCTAGGCAATGGGACCCGGAGGCAGCCGAAAAAATGCTGAGAGACGTAAGTACCTACGTAATCGTTTTATCTATGTTCATAACATCCATACCTTGAATGAGTAGTCAGAAGTGCGTACCTAGTACCTAGTTGCCATAAGCACCCACATGATTATGTACCCAATATAATAGAGTAGAAACTGTAAAAGGTTATTCTTAGCAAATCCAGGGCCGAACTAGGTCAGAGTGCCCGGGTGGCAAACGGTCCAGGGCCCCAAGATCGAATAGAGAACAAAATTTCGATAGTCAACTTTAACAAGTTACTCAACCAAAATGAATAATACCTAAGTTTAAATTACTTAAGCTGTCTAGACACAATAAAAAGACATACGCTACATTCATATTATGAAACTGCAAATAAGTAAAACTAAACTGTAGTACCGGATCGAAATGAATGAGATTTGGTTCCATTCAAAAAAATTGAATTATGAACACCTCAATGACTATAGGTATAGGTATAATTTCGTTTGAGCGACTACTCGTGTGTCTTGTAATTGTTTGTGGGTTTGATAATATTGTTGTGACAAAGCAAGTAGCAATTTTGGTATTTCTGATTAGACGTGTTGCCGTCACCTACACATCTATGCAGATATATAAAATAAGAGTGTTTGTAATATTGAATTAACCGCTTTTTACTACATGCATATAAATATACATACGAACGTACGATACCCATGTATACCAAAATCATATTACCTACTTATAATTTTTGTCTGTCTGTCTGGCTAATCTCTGGAGTGGCTGGACCGATTTTGCAAGACTTTTATTGACATTAGGTACATAGGCTACATTTATTTTAGAAAATTGAAACAAATAATACTTATGTTCTAAAATAAATAAATGGCGGGCAACAGCTAGCATTGAATAATTTGAGATACCAATTTTACTAGCTACGAGGATGTTCAACCGATTTTAATAATCCATGTTCTGTATACTCGTCTAACTTGTTTCTTACGTAACAAATCATAAAAGCTTGTTTGTAAGTAAGTTCCTAGATACAGAAAGCTTACGACCACTAAGTAAATGCAAGCACTTTGTATTTTAGTGCCAAAGTACATCTTCATTACATAGTATAAAACACAGCTATCCGCCGTCTGTCTTTCCCTATGTACCTCTACATATGCTTAGATCTTTAAAACTACGCAACCGATTTTGATGCGGTTTTTTTAAAAGATAGAGTGATTCTTAATGAGGGTTTATTTGTATAATATAATTATGCATATTGCACCCGTGCTAAGCTGGGGTGGGTCGCTAGTATTTAAATATTATAGAATATTGTATGGGGTAGGTGCGACACGTAACATGTACATATTGGTGTGATATTATATAATAATGGTTTATTTTAGCATACGATCCGGGACATGCACAACTTGTATTGACTTTAAAATGTTTGATCGATTATGTACCTACCTACCTGTAACCTTACCTTATCGCGACTGTTCCTAAAAACGACTTATAACTAAGCTGTAGGTATTTCTAAATCGTTTCTGCAGTTTCACACGCGTAATAAAAACATTACGAACGATATGTTTATAGATTTACCCAATATAAATTTCTGCAATCAGCGACTCATCTATCTTTGTAGCTAAATTAATCAATATCGGTTCAGCGACTTAAGCACGAAAGCGTAACGAACAATCCTACAGCCATATTTACGATTTTAACTACATAAGGAAGTTACCCAGATTGTACTGGCTAGTACTAAAGTTTTACAACCAGGTATACCACTAAGCGTTTAGTGTTCAAACAGAACCTATTTAAATGTTTTGAAACTTAGGTAACACTGACGCACCTGCTTCTTACATAGTTTCTTGGTGAAAGCGGGTTGTTAATATTGTGACTGACATAATAATTTCGCCATTTCCCTAGTAGAATGTTCTCTCTTAAATAGGGTGGGTAATATAATAACGATCGTCAAAGTGAATACGCTGCCGGCGACCAAATAGGTAACTACGCAACCAGGGTAAGTTAAGTACGTTGACCAAGTGACCAGCAATTGCCGAACAAGGGGTTTGGAATCCAATAGATACATTCTGAAATTATACCTGGTGTAGGTACCTATAGAAAATTTGCCACATAAATTACGTGGTGAAAAATATCTATTTTATTTATACCCAGGGTTCAGGAACCATTATAAAAATATTCAAGACATATGCATGTATGTATGTGTATCAATGAAATAAAACTCGGACATGGAATTCATTAAACTTGAACTCAACATACTAATGGAACCGGTTTTATAAAAATAAAAAATACTAGATAGGTTTAGTTTCACTGCAACAACCGACGCCCGGCGGCCGTGCACCGGTAGATATAATAAACGTGTTTTCGTGAATATTCCTTCTATTAGTAAACAAACAATTATAACAACAAATTAACATAATGGAAATAAAATATAGAACAGTCGTTTGGAAAATTTCGGATGAAAGAACGAAACAAATAATATTTTTTAATTAAAACTTTTATTTTTATTTTTGTCAGGGTCGGACTAGGAATGTATAACGTGGGTGCCACTGTGGCACCGACTCCCGTGGGCCCCAATTCATATCTAACACAGATCGAATAAGTCTCGTATCTTTTCGTTTGCCTCCCAATCATAAGTATCTTAACTGGCCTAAGCGTCTACTGTAAATCGACGAAATACGAACTTACGGTTTTTCCAACACTCTAAATTGAAAAAGCAATTGCAAAGGTTAATAAGGTTATTACTTATTTTTATATACTGACACCTAAATGTCAGAATAAAATAAAATCAAATTAATAATCAAGTTCTCACAATTGAATTTATCTAATGTTTCTGAGTTCAGACGATTTTACACTATAGCTTTATTATAAATCTAGGTATTTAAAAGACTTCAACCTTAATAGACTGAATCGACTGATTATTTAGCAGTATAAATAAAAAATATATTACTATTTATTAGTTCATCACCTATTTATAGCACTTACTGGCTGTCCACACTTACTTATAATTTAAAATAAAACATGTACATACTCAAAATAATAAAATCAGGATGTTACTTATGCTACCACTTTTTTAGATAATCAGAAATAGCTTAACGTAGGCTCTATCCCACCATTATAGTCACACGAATTTTTATAGGTCTTATGTAGTTACTTAGTTAGATTTAATAAGTTGCTATATCCATCCATCTTGACTAATTTTACTTAGCTGGATTTTTAAGTTCGAAGCTTTAGCATCTTTGGGTTGACAAAAATTTTATGTCATTTTAACAAGGTCTAATTTTCTTCCAGTCCCTGAAATGGCGAGAGAAATGGGGTATCGACACCACTCTTCAAACTTGGGAGGCACCAGAGGTGTTATCCAAGCATTTCCCCAGCGGGTCTACCGGCTTCGACAAAGAAGGATCTCCGGGTAAGTAAAATATGGTGCTATCTTACCCACGTCTATATGTCAAAGTCAAGTCAAAGCATTTATTTCAATTAAACCATAATTTGGTACTTTTGAAACGTCAACAAATACAAAATAAATAATAGTCTGTCAGTCAGTCCGTCAGTGAAGCTAGGTGCTCATTCCAAAATGTAGATTCGAATGGAGAAGTACGAGCAAGAATGTATGTTGTTTAATTCTTTACTGTAGAATAAAATTGTCATTTGACAGTTTTTATTATGGCAGACTTAAATACATAATTATTCCTCAATTAAAATTTATTTCGTAAAAGTGCGTTTGAAAAATCGACTCTTAGGCTAATGCTCTAGCTAACTTTTATTTGTCATTGATTGAACAATCAATAACTAAAGAAAACAGCTATTGAATATTCATACGAAATGACCCATGTGACCTCAGATTCAAGTCAGTCACCTTCATCGAAAATTATATCATTAATTTGTACTTCCTATGCGTGGATTATTTTTGCAATCACAATTTAATAGGTCGAATTTTAGTTGCGGTTCATCACTTTTATACTTCGTATTTCTTCCTCAATCTTCTTCCTGGTCGTTAACACTCTTGGCAGAGTGGATGTAGTCATCATGTTGTATGGTGATAAGCATCACAATTCGTCACCACTGTCTTTTTATACATTGGTGAAGCAGACCATTGCTACCAGTCTTTCTGAATTCTATTTGTATTTTATTAAATTAAAGAATTGAATTTAAAGAGCCTGGTCGTAAAAGTAAACATTTTAGCAATTATAATCACAATATTTTAACGTTTTAACTAGGTTGTACAGAAAACATGCGTTCATTTACACACTTGTGTATATGGTGATCTCGGTAGCCATATGAGCAGCTTTTGTACGTGTCTCGTAGTCTTTAGTCACACAGTCTCGTCCTCTCGTCGCATGCGTCGCTTCGCTTGCGAAACATCTGGGTCAAAGTCACTGTCACTCAGAACCGGAGTTACAATACACAAGTCATGAACTTCCCCCGGTTTCTTCATTCAACCTTGGCCATGAAACAAACGTTTAGGCAACAATATGTCAACATGATGCGGCGAATTTAAAATTACCATTAATTTTAAAATTAAGTACAACGTAAGGTCGGATAAAAATAGATTCTATTCTTCTCTGTGGAAAGATTGATGGTGTGGCGCTAATTTTTACGTAGAAAAGTATTTACATTTAAAGTTTAAAGTGGTTTCCAAGTATTCGGCGATGTTTCAATGAAATCAAGACATTTCTTTTTACTACTTACTCTATATAATATTTCTAAGCTAAACGCATGTTGGGTGTTATGAGAAACTCTTCGAGTTATTAATATATGGAGTAGATACTTGCAGGGAACCAGTTTTGCCGGCTTAAGTTGAGCCAACCATTACTATGCTAGTTATTCCGCTGGTCCCGCTATTTCCCAGCACTTCACTCGTTTAGAGGTTACACAATAAGTAACTGCGGCACTGGGTAACTTGATACACGAGAAGTTCTTACTCACACCATTTTCATTTATAAGCATCAGTTAGAATCATACATCAAACATTTATTGGTATGTTCTCTGTAGAAAACAGAAATGAGTAGGTAACACCTATATTTCACCAACACCGTTACTTCGTCTTTTTCCTATGTTTACTCTAAATTCAAAGTTAAAGCATTTATTTTAATTAAATCTTAATTAGGTATCTTAAAACGTCAAAACTTGAGTTGTATGGCCGTTGATCTGTCAGTGAAGCTAGGCCCTCGTTCCAAAGTGTAGTTTTGAATGGAGAAGAATGAGCATTGCTAAATTCAACGCAACACAATTACTTCTATATATATTACCTATATTTAATCAATTTCTAGAACACCTCTTAACACCTCAAGTAAACGAATCCTCATATTTATTTTCAGTAATCATCGTCCCGTTCGTGGGGCTAGACGTATGGGGGCTCCTACACTCCGTGACAAAGACTGATGTGATCCGCATGGTGCTCAGACACCTGGAGAACTACCTCGCCAGCGCTAGGAAACAGGCCGCAGAGCATGGTCCAGCCGCGTTGAAGGTACACCACATCGTTTTATTATTATTATTTCCAATTGTAGAAGGCTAATAATACGAAAAGGCTAAACCTAATTAGGTTAGTACAAGATTTGACTGAAATCAATTAAATAAGCAGAGCGAATTTTTGTATATAAATAAATATTTATCTCTAAACACCAGGGTCGTACTATGATCTTGTGGGGCCCCTGAGGCCCACCTAATGAATGTATGAAGAAATAGTATTTAGTTAACTGTAGTAAACAGACAGCTTTCAAAAGGAACTTAAGATTTACGGAATTTATATCAAAATTAAAAACCAGCGCTCGCTCCAGACCGTTATCACAGATAATCAGTTAATGCTGAGTAATTAAGAATGGAAATCATATAGATCATGCATAGGACTGCATTCTTTAAATACTTAAGTCACAATCTGTATAATTACTAAAAATGCACGTTGCGAATTGAGGAAAACTGTTTTATTAGTAGCTTGTACCCACCCATTTCCCATATAACCAGTTGCTACCGTAATAATCTTCGAACTTTAATAACATATCGTTGCTTAGAACCATGGGTCACATACATAACCTCACCCAACTCAACCTGTCTGTTATGATTCTATCTCCTAGTGGACTTATAAGCGCGAATCGCAAAAACCGCTGGTATAATATGAATAATTCGTCAGTCTACGGCGACCAAATTTTAATGAGAGAAATGGGAATTACAAATATGACTATGGTCACTTACAAGTGCTATAATTTAACGATTAATAATTATATAGTTCATTAACATATAATTATTACCACCACATGAGATTAAACAGCTTAGAGTGACCAGATTTGGCTAAGTCTTCATAATCTTAATTTCCAGGTGACAGTCATATTCGACTTGGAAGGTTTCAATATCAAACAGTACGCGTGGAAACCAGCCGCCGAGATGGTATTCTCCTTGTTGCAGCTGTACGAAGCCAACTACCCTGAGATACTGAAGATCTGCTATATTATTAACGGTAAGAGAGCAAATCCATCCGAAGACGTGGGTCATCATCATCATCAAATTAAAATACCCCTGCCTTTAGAAATATGAATATAACTCTCTAAGTTCCATACCTCTGATGATACAGATATGATGATAAGCTTCTTTTAATTAGGTACCTACCTAACTCCTTTTGTTATTGTTTCAGCTCCCAAAGTATTCTCCCTGGCATTCGCAGTCATCAAGAAGTTTATGCACGAGTACACAATCTCCAAGATAAAGATCTATGGGTCTGACGCTAAGAAGTGGCAGGCACAGGTTCTCACCACGGTAGATAAGGAGCAGCTTCCTGTGCACTATGGAGGTACCATGGTAGACGACAATGGAGATCCTAGATGTTCACTTATTGTAAGTTTTAGTATATTTTATTTTACCAATAAATTGTAAAAATTGTTCCAGGGTCGGATTGGTTCAAAAGGGGCCCAGTGGCAAACAGTCCAGGGGCCCAAGATTTTCTTGATTGTATTTAAATAGTGATTCGAGTGTCTGTATGGAGTGGACAATTCCCGAGTATTAGGCTTCTTTCGCTTTTTCGAAAATTCGTGCCTGGGTTTGTGCTCGATATACGAAAATGGTTCATCTCCTATACCATGAGATTCAAAAAATAAATAGTGACGAGTCACCTACTTTTCTCTTGCATTTCCCATAATCCTCATTCTTAATGCCTATTTAGTGCCGTTTGAAGCAGATAGATGGCGCTGCTGCCTATTTTGGTTTAGGCGATTATTAAGATAATTGTCTATATTGCCCTATTTTCAGGTGAAGCCAGGTGGTAAAGTTCCTAAAAGCTACTACTCCAGCAACCAGACGTTCGATTCGGACAAGGAGTTCAAGCGAGTCACCATTAAGACTGGAGAGAAACATGTCATCGACCTACTCTGCTCAGATAATGATAGTGTTTTGAAGTGAGTATCCTAGTTCTCCAATTTTTATCAGAAGTTAGTTCACTATAAGCGCCACTGTGCCATTAATCCAATATTTAGGTACGCATCTTCTAAAAAAGTACCTACCTATTGAAATATTAAATTAATTCTTGTTTCAAACAGATGGGAGTTCGGAGTGGACCAGCATGACATAAAATTCGTAATAAAACGACGAGATGAAGAAGGCAACGAGACTGTTGTGCATGGGCCCCGGAAGGTGACCGAAGGACCCGCAGACGTTGGCGTCATGGCCGTTAACGGACCAGCCACATGTAAGTTGGAAATAAACAATTTGTTGACCACTTCTAGAAATTATTCCACACTAATTACCTGTTATCTCCAACATCTATAGACACTAAATTTGCGAGACCATATCAGCCCAGGTTCACCCACTGGATACCGGCCTCCCCTTTCTCTGTCATAATTCATGAGTTTGTATGTACACACGGCTACACATCAATCTATACAAAACCAGTTTAGCCTGGTGTGGCGTCGCATCATCTTTCCGCACATTTAACGTTCAGTTTATACTGGTTATGTAAAACTCGATGTGTAGCCGTGTGTACCTACATAAATACCTACCTAATTTGGAGGTATGAATGACATTACTAATAAAGTACCATTTTTTACAGATTCAGTGATTTTCGACAACAAGAGTGCTTTCCTTCGCAGCAAAAAGGTTTATTATGATGTCCTGATTTCTGTACCAACGCGGGACTTGAATATCAGTGACGATCTCACGGACGAAATTCAGACTGCCGCAGCATGCAGCACCACTTTATAAAAAAAAAATGACTGGGCCCATAGACTAAATAGATTTATAATTTGCCCCCAAAAGTTCGGCAATAAAATATCACGGATTCACGGCAATTTTATTAACTGAATGTTGATAACGAAGTTGTTTATTATTGACATGTAATTAGACTAAACACTCATAATTATCATACCACGACTACCTACGATTCACTTCTTGTGATTGGTTAAACGAGGTACTTTGTTAACCTAAATAAGAAGCCGGTTATAATAACTTCTATTTATTTCATGATCATGATGCAGCTGCCTTGAACCTTGCAAGTATTTTTTGTTAAGGAAGTTTTAATTAAATGACTCAGTAACTATGTATACGGTACTACGATCAATACACCCTACCCTTGGATTTTCTCCTGCGTTGTGAGTGCGTTTACAAACATACATTTAACATACACATGACACCCAGACCCGGAACAACAATTTGTGGATCACACAAAGACAAGGATCAACATCCGTGACTGAGGCAATCCAGCCCCCTACACTTTGCGCGGTAGCCGGTTGCCAAGTCACCTCGTCGACCGTGCAGGCAATACTAATAGATAGGTACTATTATATTTACATTACTATTTCTTATTTGTTTATTCCCTTCTTGTAATTACATAATTTTATACTTTATCCTGTCTTATCGCTAATTTTAAATCGCGCTTAATTAAAGTTCTGTCCCTATTAATTCTTTCTAAAATGACAGAGATGGCACGATATTTAAGAATAACTAAAATTTAGTTTCAGTATTAGTCTCGGGTCGTGTGTAGCAAATACCACAATAGAAACAAGGTTCACTAAAGAAACATTTTATTCAGTAAACGGATGATTTTGGGTGATATTGTTTGTAATAGGAATAGGTTTGTGTATTCGTTACTTACATAAATGTTTATAGAACTTTTTTACAAATACAATTAGATATGTTTCACTATATAGTTTAAAGATTTAGGTAAATTGTACTTAATAGGTCCCTGATTAGGTTTTTAAGAATATTTTTAAGATAAAATGTTTTTTACTTACTGATAGTGATAGTGGGAACTGATGGTTTACAGGTAGTACCTAAAATAAGAACAAATGCTATGCATTTAACTACAGTTATCTACATTCTTTGAAACGGAAGCATTTCTGTGATAGTTTTCAACAAATGTTTAATGATTATATTATGTATAATAAAATTTTGTACCTATGACACGATTTTTTATTTAAAACATGATAAAAATTTTTTATCCTGTCATTGCATTTACGTGAAGGTAGGTACCTAACGTCCTAATACCTATGTCCGATTTCCTATTAAACCTATGTTCCTAATTCCTAGTACGAGTTTTTTACGGTGAGTCACTGACTCCCCACTGCATCAATCTCACACACGAAGCATTTAGCAATATATCTCTTCAAAGCTGAAAAGTTCTTTCCCAGTCTGTTTCCCATAGAGTAGATACAAATATATAACCTGAGGGTCTTCCAGGTCCACGTGAATACATTGCCTATGATATTGTAACGTGACCATATTTTTTACTCATAATGGGACATACGTTTATTTAGATTCAGTCGTTTATTAGATCCTATTATAGAACCTGTAACCACAAACTTAGTGCCCATAATAAAAAGGTTAACATTAATAACTGCACAAAAATGTACGTAGGTACCTACCTACGTACATTTTAAATACCTACCTAGGTATTTAAAGTTTTTTCGACTGTACCTACTCCAGCAAATTTTTTTTTAATGGAATAGGATGCAAACGAGCTGAAGGATCACCAATTTCAATCAATTTGCGAGTTATGTGCGAGTCCGAAGTATGATACAAGTTCGAGATATTGGAATATTTTATATTTATGACTTTTTTTGTTTTTTTAAAGGGGGGAAAATCGTTCTATATCGAATAACTGCTCCCGCCTGGGTGAGGCGAGAGGGAGTGTCACTCTTACTGACTAAAAACCACCCCGTTCCTTCTCTTGCACGTCGAGCAGGAGCCCCGGTAACCCGTCAGGTTCTCCGCGACTATATTTAGGACTAGGATTATCATTTTAGTGATATGTAAAAAAGCGATAAGTGATAGGTGAAAAAAACACGTTTACTTATAAAATATAAAATTTGTAGAAATAGGTACCTACTAGTAGTAGTACTGTGTGAGCTGTCAGAGCTGTGTGACTTGACATGACCATCTTACTTCCTACTTCCTTAGGTTTTACACTTTTACCTGTTACTCCTACGTATTTTCCTTTGTGTTTAATTGCCAATGCACTCTGGATTTTCCAGCAGCTGACTGATATAGGTATGATCGGTAATGTAGGAAGGTAATATACAATTAATTTATATACAACTAGCTTTTACCCGCGGCTTCGCTCGCGTCACAAAAGGATAAAAAGTAGCCTATGTGACATATACCAATACACCCAGCGCCATCTATACCAATACTTTTGTTATTCCTCGGGAATATCAAATTTTTCCGGGTTAATGAGTACCTACCCTATTATTTAATCCGGACTTCTAACTTTACGTCTGCAAAAATTCAAAGCAATCGGTTAAGTAGTTACGGCGTGAAAGTGGAACAAACAAACAAACTCACTTTCCGATTTATAATATTAGTAAGGATTACACATCTAAAAATCCCCTATGTATCCAATAAGAACTTCAGATTTCGTGCGTAATGCTAGGTACGCAGTTAATCATGAATTCGTTATTACTAAGTAGCTACCTAGTGTAACTGTAGCCTGCCTCGTTGGCCGAGTGGTCACAAGTGCGACTGCTGGGAGTCTCGGGTTCGACTCCCGGGTCGGGGAAAGTATTACTGGGTTTTTTATAAGAAATCTCAGTAGTAGTAGAGACTGGAATTGCGCCCGGTATATGGCAATAGACTCACCCCCTACATGGGACTCATAATAACATAGTGAATAGTGAGTGATACATTGTTTAGTGGCATTAAGTGCCGTAATGTGCACCTCTGCCTGCCCCTTCGGGGATAAAGACGTGATGTTATGTTATGTACGTAGTATGTCTACTTTTCGTTAAGAGTAAGCAGTCTTGTCATGAATGAGACAATTGGAGAAGTCGCAAAGCCAGGCACCAGCTCAACACTTAACTACTGACAAGACACCCTAGTAAAACTCATCAATTTTCCGAAATTACTCGATGTCAACTCGAAAACTTCTTTGTGGGGTTAATAAACTGCGTGATATTATGTATAATAGTGTACTTTTTTTTGCTACTAGATCCTTAATTATTAGTGTCACTATGATAAACGGAGATAATATTGTAATGATGTAGCAATAAACATAGATTGTACTGCCACTATCTTACTTATCTTGAAAAATACTAGACTGATAGTAAAGGCAGAATGTTACATGGCATTTAAATAAAACAAATCAAAGATTTTGTAACGATTTTAATGTGAACTTCACTTTCTTATGTTATATACAAGAATATAATATATTATGTTAGATTAGAGCAGTTACTTGTTGAGTTTTCAATCTTCATCTTCAAACAGCATGTTCAGTAGGTCTCTCTTTGCACACTGACTGCCTTCCAGTCTCCGCACGCCATTCCAAAGAATGATTGTTGGAATAACCATGAGTTTCGTGCGGCTGTCTGTCCGGAATGGACAAGCTTTGTCCTTCCACCTATAACACAAAATATTTATTAAATACTTATTACAATACAATATTACATTATGCAATACAATTCCCGGTCGAGCCAGTGTGAACGGACGCATTCGCTATTCATCACTACATCACATATTGAACCTAATCACCGATATAATAAATCTCAAAGTTAAATCGGATTGGAAATTTCCACACCATTCGCATTAACCACAGACTCGTCAAAGGATAGACAGCAAAGTGTCGGAATCACCAAGCGATGGGGCAAGTTTGATTCCGGACGTGTCAATGCATATGACAGCTGAGGAATCGAGAATTAATGTCACTCGTGGCAAGCGTGGATATAATGACAAAGGAGAATGGCAGGTTTGTATGGGAGTTTTGTACCGCTATAAAATTTTGTGTTAGTCATTGTTTTAACCAAGTGAATAGTCTGAACGATAGATATTTTTATTATGAAGTTTAGAAAAAAATTACATATTTTTAGAACTTGGGGTTCAAAAGTTATTTCACTTTGAAAATGTGCAAAAGGTATGTTAAGGTGGTACCACACTTGACATTGCGTAGTCGCTTCATTTGTCCAAATATTTGTAGACTACGTACAAATGGCGTCCAAATAGTATCTCTATATGAAATGGCGTGCAAATATATAGCAAACAAAGAAGAATAAATCCTCCAAACATGTTCTTTTTTGGCCGAACACAACAAATACGCAACGTCAAGTGTAGAGCCACCGTAAGCAAAATATCTATTACAAATGACAGATGACAGTTAACTGAAAAATGTCAATGTGCTCTCATGTGGTTGTTTATTTACAAAAAACAAAAATCTAAAAATACTGCTCGCTACTCAAGTGACTATTACACTTTGTATTATTAGAAAGAAAGAAATAAAGAAAAACCATTTATTTCGCTACGACACACAACAAGAATTTAGAAACCCAAAAAATAACCTATGGTGCGTCGCAGCGCAAAAGGCAATTAGGAATGATCCTGTTAATTCAGCAAGCATGATGCACCTATAGAGTTTTAAAGAGTATACCTCACAATCTTTTTCATTTCTTAGGTGCCTACGAAAATGTAAATTCATAATGTAAGCGACTGTCATTGGGTAGAAGGCCTACATTTAGCAGTGGAAGTCTTGTGGCGGATATGATAAAACTAATGTCTCACTTCACCTTGAATCTTGCAGGTAGATAGTCTCAAGGGTCTCAAGTTAATTCGATTTAAACTTAGCTTAGCTCTTTGAGAAAGTATTTCTTCTGAAAACTGGTTGCTTAGCACGCATGTAAGGATTAATTTCTAATAAGTAAGTCAAATTAGTAGAATCATCAACATTTTCATCATTAAGTCTATAAGTGGCCACTGCTGACCGAAGCCTCTTCTCGCATGGAGGTTTGAGCATTAATCACCATACTAGCTCAATGTGGGTTGGTAATTCAAACTTATAATAAGAAATTATAAGCCCATGTTTCCTCACAATGTTTTCCTTCACCATTCGTCAGCGGTGTCTTTGTACTTTCTTAGATTATTGAATATACCAATAACTCGGAAAAAAGACACATTGGACAAAAGGTACTTTGCCGTTGGTAGGTTTCGAACCCGCACTCTCATGCATGAGAAGCGGGCTTCTTAAACCTCTGGGCCACCACATTACAACTAAAGAAAATGTAAAATGAAAATGAACATTTTTGGTATAAAACTAAAGCTATCTAAATTAAATATGGCATTTATTTTATAGATTGATTCTTAAAATCACTTTTATCAAGATGGAATATATAGTTACTTACTAGGTTAAAATAAAACAAATGTATTATTTTGAAATACTTTTATTTCATTGAATTCAGGTTGTTTCTAGGAGTACTTCATCTAAAAAGAGAACAGGCCGTGTCATAGGTACAGCAGACATCAATTGCTGATATCTGTAAACAAGTAAGATAACTGTAAATAAAGTAAACAAAAGTACATTTTTTTCCTTTAGTTTTATATGTTATAATAATAAGTCTGATTCCCTATCTTAAAATGGAAAAGATAAAAATAAATATTTGATTACATTACTTCATTTTATAACATTTATTATAGTTATTCGTATAACACAGATCATAGGAGCTCAAACAGCATGCTAATTAATAAATTATAATTATAACATGAGTATAAACCTATTAGAAACCGCTTATATACTCCACATAGATACATAATTATGTAGGTACATTATATTGAGAATGCATACCTGTTGAAGCTTTGAGAGCCGAACAACATCATCCGGCCTCATCTGTTCTACAAATGGCAATGTTAAAGTGAGGCTTAGTCCATGTTTACATAATACATTACTTCCTGATAGTGAACACTGTGAGGTGGTATGTCAGGTTGTGGTTTTATAGTTTCGACTCTTGTACGGTCTCTCAGTCAGTATGGAACATGATCTTCATCATGGGAAGTAAGCTAAAAAAAGTAATATTATTAGAATATGATATTGACTTTAGATTACACTGTATATAGATAATAGTATGGTTAAATTATGCTTTATTACCTCTTGTGGCTGAATCCAATCAAATACTATATGAGCCAGTCTTTACTCCTGTTTGTTGGTGCCTTCAATTAAAACCCTGCGTCACCTTATCATTGCAATGAATCACCCATATACGACACAAACATGCCAGTGACCAATTTGTTTGCTGGACATACTTTCAGCAACATCCCGATACATTGCTAATTGCCAGCAAGCATTGCAAATATGGTCGGTAGGAGAGATCTAGAATAAAATGATACATTATGGGTAGATAACACTATGCGCCTTCTTTTATTCAGGAACATGGTGACTTTCGATATGTTATGGGTAAACTAGGTACTTACATCTCTAGGATAAGTCCACATTGGGATATTGTTGACCACGTCTAATCTTCACTCTCATTTTCTAGAGCATGCCGTCTCATGTGCGACAAACTCTGAATGCAATTAATACACTGTAAATTCATCATCGCGACAAATAACAACACACTGCACAAAATAATGTAAATAAGTGTCTTTTCGCAATTGTCACAACAATGATGCCAATAATACCAATTTGGGCTACGGAGGAACGGTTGCCAAACTCAACGTATCACCAGATGAATAAAATAACTTAAAATTCAACAAACACATCATAACATCGCATTTGAAACAAACAGCAATGCGCCAGTATTGACAAATTAATTGTCAATGTCATCAAGACAAATGCCAGTTCAACATTGCCATAATATTCAAGTTTGTTAAAATGTTAATTATCATTAATAATCCATGTAAACGTAGATTTAGATTGGATGTAGATTTTTATATTTACTTATAAAAATGTTTGAAATGGAAAGGAAAATATTTCATTGATAGATATTAAAATAAATGAGTTTATGAAATAGCGAAATTCAATATGCTCTGATTGCATCTTTACGCATGGCAACTTTGTAAACGTCAATCGCGGTTCGTTTTACGTATAGTGGATTGCTTTTTATCATTATTGAATATCAGTTTTTCTAGGGTTTCCCAAGTTTTAAAAATCTATTAAATATGCTAACATAACGTACTTAGGAGGTTCTATAATGACCCAATTTTTTAATGACAAATCTTTTTTTAGCGAAGCGGTACAAAATCTGCCGTTCTCCTTTCTCGGGAGTTGACATTACTAAATGAATGGAAAAAGGATTTTAGACAAGATTTAATGCGGACAAACGGTACACTGGATAAAATGAACGAAAACACCCATGAGTTGAAGTCGGAGATTGCCAGCATTAGAAAAGAATATTCGGAAATAAAGAAATCTATACAAAGTATAGAAGATAGACACACGAAAGTCTGGTTCTGGTCCGGCGGCGAGCCACCCATGCTCGCCGTCCGCAGGCCCACGCTAACGGTGGCCGGAGATCGTCTCGCGATCCCCGACGCCCGGTTGTGAGGAAGCAGCGCTTCGCTGCCTCATGCGCCCCGCCTCCTCCTTAGCTAGCATGACTGCTTCGCAAAAGGAGATGGCATCCCAGTCCAGTATACTGTGATTCTATATTATTGCTAAATTAAATACACGCCAGCCACAAACTTTGATCATTTATGTGTTGTTTCGGTCTAAACGAGATTTTATTTACATAGTTTTATTATTTAAGTACTTATTTTGTAGTTTCTGGACAAAAAAGTAAACAAGAAGACGTTTTTCAGTCAGGTATTTTATCGTTATTTTTCTATTAATTATACTAGGAATTTAAAGGGTTGCTTACGCCATTGTTCGATATAAATTAAGTGAAAAACACTTATTACAATGACGCCCAGTAATCTGAATATTTATTACCAGAATTGTCGTGAGCAAAGAACTAAATCAACACAATTCAGACTAAATGTTATAAGCGATTGTTGTTTTTAATTATTGTGACCGACACTTGGTTGCTTGACGGCATTCTTGACAGGGCATTGTGTGATTATAGGTATGACGTTTTCCAAAAAGACCGCGACCTTCTGGTAAGTCTCCAGGTAGTGGCGTAATGATGATGTAACTAATATTGTAACGCTGTTGGTTTTCTAAATAAATAAAATTAGCAGTGAGCTGCGCGATGTCGCCGCGACCCCGCACGCTGCTCATGAGGAAGAACCCCTCTGTGGTTCGAAACTAGTAGAGTTTTTCTCAGTATATTCGCGTGAGTAACCCGCGATTTTACTTAATTTGGTATGTATAAAATTACAATACAAAAGAAGATAAAAGTTATAAAATTGCAAAACAATCTCATATGTCATTTAGTTTATCAGCACATGTCTGTTCAACATTTTCAGAATGGAAATTAGTGACTTAACTTCATAAATAAAATAATGGTGAGTATTGTCATTGGTACAGCAATAAAAAAGTAAATTTATGATGGGTTTTAACATCAGAAAAATAAATGACAAAGTATAAGAAATCAGTCTGTATTGTCTCCTTGTAAGACAAAGTTCTGTTAATCATATAGTGATGGATATGAATATCAATTGTAGTTATGGAATGGCCGAGTACTGTCAGCCATTTTATCATTACTTTTTATATACTAAATTAGGTATAATTCCTATGATTACATACCAAAATGATACTTAGAAAGTAGTTAAATACTTGTAACAAGCTAATTTATCAATATTTGGTAGAAACTTTTGTTCAGGATTTAAGAAATAGATCTTTTGTGATTCCCCTGTGGCTGATCAATATGATGACGAAGTAGTGACAGAAGATACTCACGTTTCACGGTTGCCGACATCAACATAGACAAATGTGATTTCTTTTTTCAGCTCATTTAGGTAAGCCTTCACTACAGGTTCAGCTGGAAAAATAATTTAAGAATAATATTACTCAATACTTAATTGCTTTTAACATGTATTACTTAGGTGTTAAACATAATTAAGACACAATGTGAACCCTGTTGGGCAAAACAACATAAGTTTTGGAAGGAGAACACTTGACACACAGCTTGACATGTCATTCGTAGAATTTAAAAAATATAATTAACCGTTTAGCTAATTTTAAATAAAATATATAAGCTTTTGTATATGGAAAATATTTTCAAATTAATTATGTGTGTCATAATCATAATCTCATGCTATTATTCTATTGCGTGGAAGACTACAGAGCGCACTAGGAATACTCACAGATACACTAAATAAAACATGATACATCATAAGCATGATAATGAACCAAATCATTGTAATTATATACCATTAAGTCTGAATATTTTATTTTTAAATAACATATTGTGGGTGTCTTTACAAACATACAATTTCACATACACATGACATACTGCTCAAGTATAGCAGGCTACATGTTGAGCGGCAGCCAGTAGACCAGGCACCGCGCAATCTATGCAATTGTATATGCTCCGTCTGTTTGATTGGGCCTGTACCCATAGATCCCCAAGCGGTCACCGGTGACCGGTCTCCACTAATATTACATTACATTATAGACCTTATTTCCAATGTTTAGAGACTACTTTTGTATGACCAAATTTAGGAGATGGATTTCAAAGGGTTAATTACTTTCCTTAATTCTATATGTCTAGCAAATAGTTTAAAAATTATGTTATAAGTAGATTATAGTTGTCAAGACATTGTGATGTGTAACAGGCCATAGAAGTATCATCTAACCCAATTGACAAGAAATGCACCAACTGCGGCCATCCTCCTTCTTTTTGCCAGTGAAGAAAAAGTAAACTGGAGGACAATTTTCAGGCAACTTTGCAACATATGATTCAAATTCATTATATTCATGAAGAGTCTCATATTTCACTTCCATTTAAACTGTCAAACACCAAGCGGTCACCGGTAACCGCAACCTATTGTTCTTTAATTGTGTCCATAATGACGGTACTCAGAGTTAAAAAAAAAATATTTATAAAATAAAAAATCAGTTATTTGACAATCAAAGTTTGACTTATCAATGAGCTACCAATTGTACAAAGAGGTTGTAAATATTGACATTGTAGATATCTACAATACCTACATCTACAATAACATATGTTCTAAGTTAGTTTATAGTTAGAATTATTGTGCTAATAATGAGGCAAATGTAGATTACTTATAAACCTAATTTTATTCAAGAGCAAAAGTGTTATTATTTTCATTATAGTTTGAATAATGTTCTGTCTGTCTGATAAAAAGTCATCTCACCCATTTGACAATAAATGCACCAACTATAACCATTCTCCTTCTTTTTACCAGTGAATAAAAAGTAAACTGGTGGACCAGATTCTGGCAAGTTTGCAACATAAGTTTTAAATTCATCATATTCATGAAGAGTTAGATGTTTCACGGCCATTTACAAAAATATTAACAAAACGAAATTAAAAATCAATCAGTTGACAATCGAGCCATTTGACTAATCAATAGGCTACTAATTCAGAAACAAAGAGGACGTAAAATATTGGTATTACGACCTCAACGGTCGTTGTAATATATGACATCGACTTTTTTGTAAACAATGTAAACATCGCGATTTTCACACTACGTAGTATTATAGAGTATAATAAGTATAAGGTACGTAAGTATACGTTCAAATGATTACATATTACTATAGTTAAATTATGCGATACTCTGAATAAATTATGACTAATTAAATTAAGTAGTATTTTATTAATTTATGGTTTGTACCTTCAACACAATCAATGCACCAACTTTCTCCCGAAGGCAGCTTTTCACCACTGAAGTACACTACTACGGGGCGGCTATTTGGCTCTATGTTTGCAACATATTTTTGAAACTCGTCATATCCATGCAATTCAAGTATCGTCACCATTTTCACTTAGAATACACAAAGGAAATTGTATACGGCCGGTAGAAAGGATAACAGGGCAATGACAGCAAGTTAATGACACGATTGATTTTGTAATCAAATGGTGACACATGATGACACTATCTTTCAAAGTTTGACATAAGTTTGACGTTACTCTTGTCTATGCTTACAAAAGTTAGCCAATAGAAAACATTTGTTCTGCCATAGACAATAATAAAAAACGTTCCGCTACGCGTATTTTTTGACATTCGGTTAGTTAAAAATAACTTTGTGTCTTTGGAACTTAAAACTTCTGCTCTTGACTATGCGTACAACAGAACATAATATTGAAGCTAAATGAAAACGGTTTTGACAGATTGAACTGCAGAAACGGTTGAAAATAAAGATTATTTGAATGTTTACTTGTGAATTCCAATTGTTTTTAAGTTTTATTTGGTGTCTGAGTGATAAAATCTTTCACAATGGATACAACGACGAGTATAAAACCGAAGTCAATGGCTGAATTGTTGCCTGGGCTTAGTGGTAAGTTTTTAAAAGTTTGTTTACTCTCGAAAGTTTTACACTGTAAAAGAACCAACACTGTTAAAGAACTTTCTTAGTAATACTGATGTAGCTAACAAATGGAAAGAAATTGTTTTCAATAGATATTATGAATACACCATTTATTTTCTAGGTATTCTGTCTAAAGATAGCATGCAAACCCTGACTGCCAAGAAGCAACCTCGCCAAACGATGGTACAGACTCGCACCGCAGAGAAGGTTGTCAAACCTTTAACAATAGCGGAAATGAGAGCTGATATACTATGTAAGTAAACAATGAAAACAGAATATACATTGTTCCTAATACATAACTATGTACCTAATATTTATCATAACAGCTATTGTTTGTGACTTATAAAATATTGATTTGACTGCTGTATTGTATTTCCAGAGATAGACAGAGAACACTTAAATAATAAACTAACTAACTCTTCAATTTCATCTTAATTGTTTTTGTATATTGCTATAATTAATGCTTCTTTCTTCATACCCATATTCCTAATTAACTTTTCCAGCGCTAAGAGTGCAGTCACCGAGAAGACCTGCTCAAGGAGCTACAAGTGCTAGGAAAAAAAACTGGAACTCCTCCGTCAAGGTGGACAAGACAGTAAGCCATACAGCCAATGGCAAAATGAAATTAAATCCTGTTAGAAAAGTGCTTAACTTTCAACCTAAGCCCAAAGTAAGAGATTTTATATTACTTATATTTATTCTTTATACAAATATTTTATTACACAATCTCAAAGATGTTTATAAAAATGTTATACTTTGATTTCAGCCCGTTATGAGTAATACTAACACGAGAGTCACAATGGCCCCTGAAGCTCCAAAGTTTCCCAAACCTGAATACAGACCAAAGAAGTCAATGTATTTATTACAAGGTTCGTACATACACCATTCCATATCTATGTAGTTCCTTCATTATTCTTTACAATTTTTAAATATTATTATTCTATTAATTTCAGCTCGTAATAATGTAAGGATAAGTGGAATAAACAACATATCAGAAACACCAGTTGTAACCAAACCAGCGATCAGCCGCCTCACACTTGCCAATAAAGAAAATATCTCCCACCAGCCGAGTATCAAGAAATTTGTTCCACCTAAGCCACTGATAAGGAAACAAATTATACCAACCATACCTGACACTCCAATGTCTAATGAATCCTGGAAGTCCAGCTGTGATGCTAGCTTCTTGCAAAATGAAAAGGAAATTAATGATGCTGAGGCCAAAACTAAAGCAATAATGGAGGAACCAACTCTTGAGAACATTGCTGCAGTCACTCCACCAGTGTCTACACCATTCAAAGAATACAGAAGTGTACAGGAGTACTTCAATCACTCCAGTGAATTAGAAAGTTCTGAGGTGTACCACGACAATACCATCATGAGCTTTGATAAACCTTCAGACAGTAAAGAGAACACAAAGAGAGAAGAAAGTGTAATAGTGTCATTATGTGATCTATTGAACAAAGCTTCTGTAACCACTACAGGGAAAATGAGCACAGAATTAGAAGATTTATTGCAGATAGAAAAACAGACAGAACATAACTTGAAAATGATAGATAACAGTATTGCTGCACTCAATAAAATCAAGGAGTCACAACTGACTTCTCTGAAGTATGTCAGGAAACTAATAAATGATAAGAAACCACAAGAGAATGGAGACAAAACTTTAACAGATACCAAAGAGAATGCAGAAGCTTTAGTAATTGTGAAGAATGAGAAGTCAAGTCCTGAACACAAACCGGTTGTTGGCAAGCCATGCTCAGTGATCAAATCTTGCTCAAAGTCACCATCCTATAAAATACCAAAAAAGAATTTGTGTTTAAGAAAAAAAGTGTTTTGTAAATCAATGCCAAATGTTTCAAATGAAACAGTTACACCTGTGAAGTCTGATATGGGCACCAGAGCTCTCAGTATGTATATGAAAATGAAAGAACAGATGAATTTCCTGAACACACCAGTCGCTACAAGAAATTATCATGTGCCAGATACACCGGCTGTTACATCTCACAATTTACAAAAGCAGCTCGACAAACTTTATGATGAAAATTAGGGTAAATGAATGAATGTTTAAATTAATTTAATTATAGGATAGGTTTGTATAGAAAGCAATTATATTTTAGATGAAATTTTAATTTAAATACTATAATATAATTTTATAAGTTGCCTTATTATATATTAGAACTGTTGTGCTACAGGTTGGCTTGGCAAAAGCCACACAATTTACATTTTACTAATATGTACAAAGAAGTGACTGAAAATTGTGTTGTAACAAAATGCTTTACATTCGATTACTTATTCTAACAACAATGTAGTTATTTAATATATTGTGTAAAGATTCAATTTCTTGTAACAATGAGCATAATGTAAACTTTTTTACTGAATAAAGACAAATGTAAATAAAAGTTAATTTTTTTATTAAATTAAATGTTTAGTGAAATATTTTTACATTTAAATTCAAGCTTTATTTGCACAACTCCTTATAAATATCAATATTTTAGTATCTTGTTTCTCAAAGCGAACTACTTACCTACCATATAAATACCATTATATGCTTTATTCACTGAAGGTTTTAGCAGGGTAGATACAGACTTCATTAGTCATGAGTCTCATCTTTTTTAGTAGGGCTTGAGTCTAATACCCTAGCGCACATTTCAAAAAAACTAGACCCTTTGTTTTATTAAGAATTATAAGGACGAAATTCTTTGCCTGCCAGATGTCGATTCCAAGCACCAGGCGCTTACATCCACTTTGTTAAACATTCAGAAAACAGGTGTTTAAGAAACAACAAAGTAGGTAATATTAGGTACTAGTTTATTAAAATAACAATATTATTAGTTCTGCTGAAAGCAGTGGTTGTTTCTTAACCTTTCAGCCATTCACATTTCCGTTCCTCTGCTATATCTAGCAACTATTCCCGGGGCCCGATCGGTCACTGCGAGTCTCTGCCTGCCATTTTTACGTGTAATACATTGTTTCGGTGTCGCAGAGAACCTAACGGGTAACCGGGGCTCCGGCTCGACGTGCAGGAGAAGGAACGGGGTGGATTTTAGTCAGTAAGAGTCTGACACTCGAATGAGTGTCAGACTCTTACTCGAGACTCTTATCGAATGATGATTTTCCCCCCTTAACCTTTTGAGCGCCAGGGTCACAAATACGTGACAAGCGAAAACTGTCCCTGAGCGCCAACGACACAAATATGTGACAAAAACAGCGGTACATTAAAACACGAAATAAACTATTTAAACATTACTTTAATGCCTATTTATTTATATACCTGTAAAATAGAAGGTCCAAAATTTATTTATTTCCATAAAACTAATTAAATTGCATTATAAATATTGAGAAATTTTACGTTAAAAAGAAAGAAATAAACTCTGAAAAAAGAATGTCCTCACACGCCAGAGTCATAACTGCGTGACCCCTAGTGATGTAGCGCATGTTGGATAATATCATTATTTCAAATCAAAGATCGATTCGAAACTTTCCTCTGGAATATATTATTTTAGGTATAATTTGGTACTAGGATAAAGCAGCATTAATTTTATAAAACCAGTCTTAAAAATCATTCAATAAGCTACATAGTCAAAAATAAAATTTGGTTGGGTCGAATTTCGATATTCACTAATCCCAACTCAAGCGCATCCCTAACGCAACCCGAATTATCAGTACCCTGTACGCCATGGTCACGACTAGACGACAATATCGTGACGTCACAAGCGCGGCGACCAGAAATTAGTGAAGTGAATGAATAATATTTATGATTAATTTACTTGTGATATCGAGTTCAAGATTAATATTAAGTGACTATTATAATGAGTGGGAATTTAATGACTACGGAAGAAGAGCGAGAGTATTTGACTCGAAACTTTTATCTAAGTGTGGGCTCCATATTTACCTATAACTTCGTGGAATAAAGTCTGCCAAAAGTTCCTTTTTTAGCCACGGTGCGCGCTGAGATCGATTTCACTGTCCCCACCACCCACTTTGCACCCAGCGAATTAGATGATCAGAATGCAGGTTGCATTGTAGATTTTGTATAATTTTGTTCTATTATTCAAAAGATTTATTAGTATAAGACTGATTGGTAATTGTGATAATTATATATAATCGTTAATTGTTTTAATTTGTTACTTTTTATGCCAGGTTTATAGAACTTAATATTTAAAAACATGTATACATAGTACATACTATATAACATTTTATTAAAATTTTCTTTTTTCATAGTTTTTATTTACCTTCTTAACCTATTTCAATCATATATTTTTAAGTACCTGTTACATTCGGAATTATAAATCTGATTTAAAAAACGTGTTTCATTTATTATAAAATAATATTGTACTAGAACATCGATAAACGAGATATTACGTTGCCACATCCTTATTTCGGAAGCGAAGTAGTTATTAAAATGGCGGGCCGTCCACGCCATGGTCACAATATGAAGACAGCAGATCAAGAATAGTGTTGTACCTACAGTTATTATATTTAAATATATTGTAGTCTCATATCTGTTATTACGGTATTATACAAGTCTGTAAATAGTGTATAACTATTACTTTAATAGAAAGAAATGTAATGTTGAATTAAATTTCAATGTTATAAGGACATTATATTTCGAAATTAAAGACGAAAATGAAAATAAAATTGATTATCGATGAAGTTTTGGAATCCCTATTTTTTTCGTAGGTATTTGCGGTGAATTTGTGGCCTGGCGTTGAGGGCAAGTTCATGCGTTTTTGCTCTGGCGTTCAAAAGGTTAAAAAAAATACATTGTTTCGGTAGGTGCTATAGTCATCCATAGTTCCCAATTTACCAGTCTACAGCAACCCATCCATATCCCTACCTTTTTTTCTATTATCCACAATACTTCTACACACCAACCGGAAACTGTCCTTGGGTGCATTTCCATAGTGCATACAAGGATAGTCGCCGGGTTGTGTCCGTTACATTTAGATTAAAGTTAACTAAAAATCGCGGGTTACTCACGTGAATACTGAGTAGGCTGCGTGACATCGCCGCGACCGCGCACGCTGCTCATGAGGAAGAACCCCTCTAAGGTTCGAAACTAGTAGAGCTTTTCTCAGTATATTCACTTGAGTAACCAGCGATTTTTAGTCAATTTAGTATGTCTCACGATAGATATATTATAAAAACAGATTAAAGTTGTCTAAAGGGCTTCTGCGCAGTTGGTTCCGGCCCCTCGTACGCCTTCCAAATGACCGGGACCCTGTGGTCCCGTGATTGATAAAGACGTACATAAGTAATCATCATAGTTCTTATGAAATAAGAAATCATGCTTTTATTATACTACTAGTTATTTCCGCACGGTTTCACCCGCTCTGCTCGGTTTTTTTTATGTAATTCCTATTACGCCTCCTGGCAAACTGATCGGCACCTGATGGTAAGCGATTAGCGGTATTTATAACCTATACCCTCGATAAATGGACTATCCAACACAAAGTATTTTTCAAATCGTGTCAGTACTTCCTGAGATAAGCTCGTTCAAACATAGAAACTCTTCATCTATATTTATCATAAATTAATTAAAACTGAAGAGTCTCTTGGTTTGTTTGGACGCGCTAATTGGTTTCCCCCAACACAGGGATTTTTTCCTGTGTCGTGGTTGCGTTACAAACATCACTTTCACATACACATCACACTCGGACCCAAAACAACAATCTGTGAATCATACAAAGAATAGTTCCGTGCGGGGAACGAACCCGCGACCATGCCAATCGCGGTTGCCCAGCCACCATGCCAATCGTGCAGTCAAATCTGTGTAACTAATGAGTCATTTTATAATTTCTTTTTGTGTTATAATTATGGTCCATTTATCCAGGAAGGTTTAGCCTATAGCTATAAAATATCACACTACGATTAATAGGAGACAAGCAGAGCGGGTGAAATCGCGCGGGAGTAGCTAGCTATAGTATTAATTCGTTAGATTTGGGTTCAAAACTTCAAATATGTAGTCTATGAAGAAAAAAAACAGCTTTTATAATCTACGACAACATGATTTTAAAATGACACAATTTGACAAACAAGATGTTTGACACATGTCAAATTATTGTACGATATTCTCTTTGGATTGTACTACGTTTATTGATAAGCGATAACAAAATACTTTCATTATCATCAGTTTATTCTGTAAATACGTGCAGAATAATCAAATTAGATAATTATAGTTCATTGCGATACTTGAAAGTAAAACCATCTTATTGCTCATAAGTAAAAATGGCCTTATCGAAACCAATTATGAATTTACTGAGTTCTTATTTACAAAATTTATATTTGCATCCTATTAAAACTAAAGCTATTACAAGGTGAGTAATGTAAAAAAGTGAATAAATTAATTCGTGTGTATACTTTAACGTCGATCAAAGTTCAACTCCAAAGTCTATATAATTGTAAATTTTGTAATTTGTATTGACCTATGACCATTGATGTTACTAACCGTGTTTGAATATACTTAATTATTTTACAGTTGCGTGGTAGGTTCAGTTGGCAGCTTAGCATCCCAACTGGTAGCTGGTGAAAAAATCAAGGTTGACACAATTTCTGCTTTCGCCTTATATGGGTAAGTTGCACTTTCCTTCCAGTTTAATAACATAACATTGCCTATGATGTTCTTTTAATATCAACTTTATTTCATTTCAGTTTATTCTTCGGCGGCACCATACCACATTATTTATATGAAATCACAGAAAGACTGTTCCCTGAAGAAGTGGTTGCATTCCCTCTTGTGAAGAAACTGTTATTTGAAAGATTACTATTTGCTCCATTCATCCAAGCCTTCTCTCTATACACACTAGCAAGACTAGAGGGCAAAACACATAACTCTGCAACAAAACAGTTGTTTGCTCTATACTGGCCTATTTTAGAAGCAAATTGGAAATGGCTAACACTGTTCCAAGTTATCAACTTTGCTTTTATCCCACCAATGGTAAGTATTGACAGAATGAATGTGAGCTAATGGGCTTTTGTTTCTGCAAGTTACAATCATGGTACCTATATCATACAGAATATCTAATCAGAGAAGTGTTATTTGGCAAATAAGTTCAGATATTATTTAAGTACCATTGGTAGTTTATTGCATAATTGTCATTTTTCTCTTATAATGTTAAGTATAGTTCTATAATAATCTGTTTTTCCAGCTACGAGTCCTGTTCATGAATCTTGTTGGACTTGGCTGGGCAATGTTCCTGGCCACCAAGAGACGCCAACAACAACAGAAGAAGGAATGATGAATTTGAATTATGCTCAACACTAGGTGGTGGGTGATATAATCTGTGATGGGTGACGAACATTTATTAAAGCCTTTTTTATAAATATTTACAAATGTCAATATAGGTCAAAGGTTAGTGGGGCAATATGATGACCTTTCTAGTGATGTAAATGTCTCAATTTAATGTTCTTATATTTCTATTTACGCATTTATCTGCCATTGTATTGATATGCAATAATATAAAAAAAAATTAAGGCCCATGACTGCTCCTAGCACATGTTACTAAGATTCAATGCAAAGTTACGGAGTACATTATTTATCACAAAGTGATATAATAAGTTGAAATCGTTATATTTTCTTTCTAATTTGTAAGAAAATATTTGAAACATTTTGTTACATTCTGCAATAAAAATAATTATATAATCTTTATTGAGGTTTTTGGTGTGAAGCCCACAATCTTATCTTGCGATATCATTTAATTACTTTATGTGAGGTATGTTTATTGCTTCTAGTGGTCAGGGACATGGATCAAATTATTCAACTATTGTAATGAAATAATAATGTTGTTATATCAGGGTACTTTATTTGACAACAGCAGTTTGTTCCATTATCTCAATATTACACAGGATTGTGGGAGTGCCTAAAACTATTTCACTAATTCATAATCTGCAAAATCAATTCTTACGCAGTGCATTTTTTAATTAAGACGAGATTTCTCTTTACAATCCAAGTATGTATAAGTTCTCTGTATATTTTTATATTATTATTAAACTGTTTTATACTGTTACATCTGAGTATTATTGAGTATCGTCATTATTTATTGCTTAATTATATTGAAACAAATAGATAGTTCCAATCATTTACATACAATACATTCTTATAACACTAAAATTATTCAGTTTATCACCTATGCTACCATAATATTTTAGTAAATAGAAAAATAAATAGCTTGTAAAATGACTTGAGTAAAATTAAATTAGTAAAACGAATTAAATAGTGTAAATATGAGATTTCAATAAAATATATTGCACTTTATTCTAATAAATTATAAATATTAAGTACTCGTTTTTGACTAGAGTATTTTCCGTTACATTAAAATAAATTAGAGAATAATTTAAATAAAATTACCAACAATAAAACAAAGTAAAAATGCAATACTTAGAGATCAAGTATTCGTTTCCTAAAAGGAATTTGATAGAGTAAGCACATTTGACTAGATAAAATATTATCTTAATCTATTTTTGATAAAACATCAATCAAAAAGTCGATTACTTTGGCTTATTTGCTACCTTACACGTGGTTCATATTTACAAAAACGTCGACTAGACATTTAGATTTTATAATAAACTTTGTTTTTTTGAATTGAATAGGTACAGCTATAGATATAGATAGAAAATACTTTACAAGTGCATGTTATGTCGTTGAATTTTGGTTTAGATGGTCCTAAGTGTGTGTCGTTTAGTATTTAGTGGTTGTTATTCTCTGTCGGGTCGCGGGGAGCGGGACCAGCTGTGCTGCGACGAGCGGCTGCTGACGGTGGACGTTGGTGTCGATGGCGTCGGCCTCCGGTACGGGATGGGGCGCTTGCGCGCGCTGTTACGGTTATTGTGTTAGTAGTATGCTTATGAGTTAGTACAGTTAGACATGCGATATGAAAGCATACATGATCATTACTGAATTTAAATTAGATTATTTGAAACGACAATTTTAAGTTAAGATAAAATTTAAAATCATAATGTTATTATTAATAGAAAAATTCAGAATGAAAGATGCAATTTAGAAACAATAGCTTACCTTATAAAAGTAAATAAAGAAAAATAAAACATTCATAATATTGAAAGCTTCTTCTACAAAATGTGTACAGCTTCTAGCTTCACTACCATGCAGCAAAACGATAAAATAAAAACAACAAAAAATCGATTCAATAAACTTTAATGTGATAAAACAAAATGAATAATCTTGAAACAGAGAACACACTCGGCATGTTCTAGATAAATAGCACACTGACTACATCTGGCGGTCATCACTGTAAACTCCCATAAGGCGTATATCACATTGGCACACGTTATCCTCTTCTATACTTGAATTTGTTTGTAGAGTATGATAGATCTATTATGGGTGCGCTACGGAAGAAAAACAACCATTAAATTATGTTCCCTTCCAACTCCAAACTATCACATAATGTAAAAACGAATTAATTTATTTTTATCTTAAAAATGCATTCAAATTGACTAGTGACAGTTTAAAAATATCCCATATTTAATTGATTAATTAAATAATTATATAAAATCATTATTCCAATTTAAAACGAATTAATATCTTACGACTAGTAGCACACCCTGTTAGCAAGATCAGTGTTAGACGGACACACACATCTAGAGTTGTTATAAATAAGATGCAGAGACCAATGGTAGTTCAAATATTCACAGCCAATGGGGATATATCAAACAAACATATTTAAAGCTAATCAGCCTCTATACAGATATGGACACCCAGAATATAAAAGAGATAATAATGCTTTAGCGATATATTTATATGTGAAAAATAGGGCTTATTGTTTGAATACAATACATAATGTTACTTAAACTAATCCACACTATAGCACATTCACTTCACTACTCGGAGCTACTACTCGTGTCTTCAGAACTCGTGCTATACTTTCGTGATTTTTTTCTATAAAGAAAACAAAAAACAAAATAGATAATAGGAAAAATAATGGTTTAGTGCCATATCATGGAGTTATTGCTAGTGCACTACCCACACACGTGTGTTAGTTAGTATGAATATGATCCAATAATGGATTTACAAGAATATGTTAAAATTACATCTATTTTACTTACTTAAGATGTCGCTATAAACGCTAACATCTATGTAAAACACATGTTGTACGTGAATACTATCTATTATTATTAAAATGAATTATAACTACCATGATATGACTCAACAAACGCAAAATAAAAATAACAAGCACACCTACAGATAATAAATCAGGATAAAAAAGCGACACACAGAAAAAGTAACACACTATGCAACCAACGTGACATCTATACGACAAAATCTTAAAAAATATCTGTACAGGATTATGACACCACAACATGACATATCGACCTGTCAAATAGTATGTCATCGTTGATTGCACTTACAAAATCCCTATTGGTCAAGAATACAGTGCTTTTAGCGGCCATTTTGAATGATACTGGGAAAGCATAGAAATTTAGTATTACTATTTGTTTATAAAAGCACTGTTCTTGTGTGTGAGAGATACCTCGTGATCCGTCGCCTATCCAAGAAGCTGGGCGAGCCAGCGCGGCGCGGTATGGAAGGCGAGCGTGATCGCGTGCGTGCGCGCGACTCGCTCGATCTACGGTAATCCGCGTATACGCCTGTCATTGTTCTGATCGATACCAATGTCGCATGCATGCATTGTTTGTTTTTCGATTTTCATTAAGCGGAAAGAAAAATTTACTGTTAATATCTTTGTTAATTATTTCAAAGAAATGTGTTGGTTCCCTTTGGTGGTTTTAATTGGATAGATAAACTGTCAGAAAGGTAAGTCAAATAAATGTCAACTATGGAAGCAACCCATTTCTTTTATGTCTATTTTAACTACATATTTCAAACAAACAAACGTTATCCTGTTGCCTTAGTACATTCCAAATATTGTAGATTAAATAATAGTTTTTATTTTAATCACCATTGGGTTTGGAATAAGACGTTGAAATATTCAAGTTAGAACTTTTCACCCATTCCTACGCTTATTTGAATCTCCCATTATATAGTTTTTGCTTTATGGAATAATAGGCAAACGAGCAGACGGATCACCTGATGGTAAGCGATCAGCGCTACCCTTGGACATTTGGAACACCAGAGGAGTTCGTAATATTTTGTGACGTTAACGTGTGTCGCATTGAACGAAAGCTCCGTTCTTATTTTCTAAATATGGCCAAAAAAATTGTATATTTTATTCATAGGCAAGTCCAGTTGTGAACGGATATTACTACCTACCATAACTTATAATACACTTACAAGTTTATCATTTATATCACGCAAGAAATTTAACCTTTTTCTAAGTGACGTGAGCTCTTTTCTGTATTTATACATTATCTTATTAAGTACATTTCAAACAATAAAGTTTAATGACTTAGTAAAGGAATTAATTAAAATCCAAACTGTTTTAAGGATAATTCATAATTATTTATTTTGACAAAACTTTATTGTTAGATTTAAAACGAGATACAACGGGTAACACATTTAGGAAGTAATGTTTACCTAGACGATCGGGTGGACCTCGATGTGCTGCGCGAAGACCTGGAAGAACTCCGGCTGCTATACGAGGACGACCGACTTGAGCGAGACCGTCTGTAACAAACATCGGAAACATTTTATTACAACATTCACTAACTGCTGCCGTGAACAAATTAACAGCTAATCATAAAAATCTGTCTACAAATCATAGAATATATTCTTTAATATTGTTTATTAAATGATAAGTATATTATAAGCTCATGCAATAAAAAGAAATCGAACATAACGAACCTTGAGGAGGAATAGGAGCGCGACCTGGACCTGGAGGAGCGCGAGCGTGACCGCGACCGCGAGCGGGAGCGGGACGACTTGTTCCGCGACCGAGACACCGACGACCGCGACCGCGACACTGACCGCCGCGACGACGACCGCGACCACCGCCGCCGCGAGCCTCCGCCCGCCACCTCCTCACTCTTCCTCACCTCCGGCGACGACTCCACGTTCACCGGTGGACTCGCGTCTTTTTTAGGGCTCGGTGCCTTAGCCACTTCTGGGCTCTTTTTAACTTCTTCCACTGCAGCAGGAGATTTCTCTTTAGCCTTATCTTTAGCAGGATTAACGGGACTCTTCTCTTTCCTTTTATTATTTTCGACAACTACTTCCGTTTCTCTCGGCTGAGACTCATCCCGCGTGTCCTGCCAGGATGATGTCGACGTCGACGGTCGGTTCATCATTTCCTCGACTCTCCGGCGCTCTATTGACACTTTAGCTAGTTTAGCCAGTCTTTCTTTCAGTCTACTGAGTTCTTTGACGTCTAATTCCTCCTGCCGAAGCCTATCGTCTATCCTTGAAAATTCAATCTCATGGTCTTCGAGTTCACTGGACGAGCTGCGCATGCAAACTGCTTTCGGTTTGTAGTTCTCGGCCAAATCTTTGCTGCTTTTCTTTTTGGGTTGTAGATCTGACGGAGATTTGATGTATTTGCGTTTATCCTTTTCAGGTAATTTCTCTATGATGTCTCTGTATCGCTCGGGGCTGCGGCGCGCTGGAGAGTAACTTAGACTAGAAGTGCTTCGACTCTTGCGTGCGGAGCGCGAGCGCGACCTGTGCGCGGGCCGACTGTCGTGGTTGCGTTCCTTGTCGGCCCGCTCGCGGTGCTCGGGCTTGGAGGGCGAGGTGCGGCGGTCCGTGGTGCCTCGCTCTGACGACTTTTTGCTTTTCTTAACCGGTGTTACACTCTTTCGTTTGTCCTTTTTTGAGCTTTTGCGTGGTGTTGGAGATTTAGACCGACTTGGTGACGGTTTGCGCCGAGATCGTTCTTCTGGTGAAGGGGACTTCCTGGTGGGCTTACTGCTTTCACGTTTACTTTCTAATTTCCGACTCTTGTGTTTGTCACCTTTGCTTTTAGCCGGAGGGGATTCTTTCCTCTTGTGTTCAGAGGAACGGCTTCGTTTCCGATGTTCTCTCTGTGGTGGGGACTCGCTCCTCTCTTTGTAGTAGCGAGCTTTGTTTTTACTTTTATCTGATTTATGTTTAGGAGCTGGTTCTGACTCGGACTCGGATGACGAGTACTTTCTTTCGGGTCGTTTTAGCGATTTCTCCTCTTTTCGAGATTCTCTGTTCTTAGAACTTTTGTGGACAGGCGACTTTTCTTTGTATTCCGAGGAAGAGTCTCTTTTATCTCTAGAAACACTCCTGTCCTTCTTCCTCCGTGGTTTGTCTTCAGACACGTCTCTAAATTTTCGTTTAGATGAAGTATCTTCATAATTATCATGATTATTCTTATGATTCTTTTCATATTTGTTATCTTTTTCCTTCCTCCTGGGGTGGGAGTTCTCGCGCCGGCTGTATCTGTCGTCTGGGGATTCACTTCTCCTGGAAGCTTTACGTTCTTCTCTGTCGTCTCTATGGTTTTTGTTATTTTCTTTGATAGTTTCTTTCTTGTTGTAGTAAGTATCTTCGTTCCGCTTTCTGTATTCCTGAGAGGGACTCTTTCGTCGCCTCTTTTCCGGTGGTGGAGAGGAGCTGGATTCCCTAGAGTAGTGTTTCTTGCTTCTCTTCTCGGACCTGCCTTTGGGAGCGGGTTCTGATTCAGATTCCGGGGAAGACCGCTGGCGGTCACGTTTCGATCGCTTGGAACTCTTTCGTTTCTCTCTGTCTGATTCTACAGAAGGCTCTCGCTTCTTGTTTTCTATTTTAGTAATGTAGGACCTCTGTCGGTACTCTGGCGAGGAGTCTCTGTCCTCTGAGGAGGAGTGTTGTCGTCGCCTATCAGTGTGGCGGGACTCCCGCGGTGGAGGCTCGTCACGTTTGTCGTACTTCTTGTTTCTCTCCTCTCGGTCTACTTTTCTGTGCTGAATGTCATTATTTCTGTCTTCAACGGAGCGATCGCGATCCCTATCCCTTTCTCTTTCTCTATCTCGATCACGATTCTTCTCTTTTGGGTATTTTACTGGGGAACTAAGGATACATAAATTAGTTTTACATTGTATGAATTCAGAATAAAATATGACAAAGTATGTATTTATAGTTACCTGTCACGACTCGAAGCTTCACTGCTGCCGCGTCGTCGACTGCTCGATTTTTTCTGTTCAAAAATTTGACAACAAGCGTAAAGATCATAGTTCGAATAATCGGGCATACAACACCAGTGCCAATACAATAGACTATAGTGGTAATGGCAAATAAACATGTTTCACTAAAAATTGTACCAGAAACTCTTCATGGGGCTTCCAACGAACCGGATGAGGAGTTTCCACAAAGACAAAACAATAAAAATCACTTGTACACATGCATTCTAATTAGGAATAGTATAAGGCATCAAACAAAAGAGAACAGTTGAAAATAAAATATACTTAAAGCTATTGATGGAAGCAAGTATAAATAAACATGTAATCTGTTTGGAAGTGTATTCTGGACGATATCTTAGAATGTTATTCAATAGAGTATCCATAACATTCTCGAAGTGTCAAATCAAAGTAATATATAAATAAATATATAGATAGATAGAGAGGGAACATAATGAGTGTTGTCTGGTTGGCACCGGTGCGTTACTCGCTTACTTAACTTGTTAGTAACACATTACGGCTCAACATAATTAATCATAAATACATACAATACACAAAAATCAAATGTAAATATAACACTTCGGTAACGTACCTTATTTAACAAACGGTGGTGGTATTGTATACCATTTAAACATGTGGAGCATCCTTAATTAGTTTTGGGTAAATGAGAAGAGGGAGAATGTTATGGATTAGTTACATTTCAACAATCAGACAGTCTGGATATTAGTACGCGACGTGTGTGGTACGGCAACGTGCGCCGTGTCTACTGACGTAGTCAGTGTACAGTGTACAGGGCGACACGGGCAGGCCGCGGTAGCACACACGCGCGGCGCGAGTACTACATCCATGCAGCCACACCGCGCCACGCGCTCCCGGCGCCGTGGGCGGTGCGTTAGTCACAAATGCGGTAGTCAACAATGCATTACCAAAATTATCACGGAGTACATAATTTTAGTATTCACCTAACATAGTGTCTTACTGAGTGTTATTGCTTTGTGATATACTTACAGTATACGTTATTTCTTCAGATAAAGATGGCTATCCTATGAAATGATGCACAGTTAAACAGATAATTTTTACTGGCTATTTCTTGTATTTACAGAAAATAAAATAAAAATGAGGTAAGAAGACAATAACATTTAAATAATACGTATCGAGCCCCACACGGACCGCTAGTGGAACGGAACATTCTCGCGAGTACGACCAGCTCGGACACTACCGATGTAAAACAAACTCTGTGGCTACTACAGTTAGTTCGACAGTTGAACGATGCAAGTAGAGGGATGGAGACAGGGCCGTGTGAGGAAATTATACACAAACCAAAATTCGTGAAGCCAATATTGTATGCAGAGGAGGTGCCGAGAATGTCATATTCATTGTATCAGGCCAATGTGTTCGTTACACATCAACATAAAATAAAGAAAGCAATGTGCTACTCGAGCTAATCGGTTGTTGCCAAGTCACTATATCATTGTACTAGTTACTGAAGGATGGAACATTATCTGAGAGGCAGTGGAGTCGAGTGGCTGGAGGCACGCGGAAGAATCCCGAGTTAATCTAAACGAGGCACCGCGTGGCACTATCTATAGTCGTATTTTTAATTAGACGAAGTCGACTGACGTTTGCTGTGTTGTCAGTTTTTGATGAAATAAAAATAGTGTTGCGAAAAAGTGAATGATTGAAAAAGCAACTAAATGAATGAAATTGTCTCGATCGTCTAGTGAATTAATTGAAGTAGTTGAAACTACAGATGAGTAAAATATAAAAAAATTAGGTAGTTATGGATAATAAAAACAACGCTAATAACATCATTTGATTTTAATCATCATCAGATAAAAAATCATCGCTATCACTTTCGGTGACATTAATAATAAAGTTGTCTGACACATTGTCAATCATGTGGTCAAGGCCATACATTTTGTCTTCTTCTTTAATAACGTGAGACACGCAACTACTCCATTTTTCTGCTGTGATGAGTTGAAGTCCTTCTTCAAACAGTTTTTTAACTTCTGGCATTTTAAAAGTTTTGTTATTTCTTGCCACATGTCCTTTGGCCTGCGCCCATACCAACTCAATAGGGTTAAGCTCACAGTGGTATGGGGGCAGACGTAAAACCGTAATTCCATGGTGTGCTGCCATCTCGTCCACAACAAACTTTTCAGAATGTTGGTGTTTGTGCTGTCGTACAATGTCTATAAGAGTAGCTTTGATCATTGTTGCTTCGAATGCGATATTTTTGCTTGTTAGCCACTCTTGTATTCTGGATTTAGTCCAAGACATTGTAGGCAGCGATTCCAGTTTCCTGGAGTGGTACGGGGCATTATCCATCACTACCACGGAATTTGGTTTGAGTTTTGGCAAGACCTCTCTGAACCACTTTTCGAAGGAATCGGCATTCATCTCTTGATGATAATCTTCTTTGTTTTTTGTGGCTTCAAATATTAATAGGCTGTCTTCTACGAACCCTTCTTCCCCGCCTATATGTCCGATAATTAAGCGTTTGCCCTTTCCTGAAGGTTGTTTTAAGCCAGTGGTCAAGCCATCGAGGAAGGCCTGGCGGGAGGTTAGCACTGTTTGGTCAATCCATACCTTCTTCGGGGCATGACCTTAAAAATAGAGAAAAATATCAATTAATTATTGAAAGTAGAGGGACCTTCTAAACACATGCCTGTAAATGTATGTACACGTTTATCTAAGTGGTTTGTCATGTTTGTTTGTAATTATTCCTAATTTATATTATTGTCACACAATCAGAATTTACAGTCTTATAAGAAACGCATGTAATCTGTGTTAAATACAGCGTCGGTAACGAATTGTAAGAACTTTTATCTGTGGCCACAAAACCTACAGAAAGTAAAATTTAAAATGAAGAAAACAAAATTGTAATTACCTTCGTTGATCCAGGTCTCATCTTGGTAATAAATATACCTTCCTTCTCTTCTATACTGTTTTATTTCTCGAAGGTATCGCTGGCGCCATAGAATAATATCCTGTCTGTCAATAAGAATGCTTTTTCTTGTCTTTGAAACGTATTTGAAATTCAAATGTTTCATAACATTTCTTAGTGTACTCCATGAAAAAGTCGGTAAATCTGGGTCTTCATTGACAACTTTAAGGATCTGTAAAGTAATAAAAATGTTTTTGAGTAAGGAAATCTATGCAATCTAATACTTTGGTTTTACAAAGAACATTATGGTGGACACAGAATATAATGCAGTAGACGGAATAAAGTTTATGTTACCTTTGCAATGGTGGGTGGCTCATTTGCATAAAAAAACTGATGAACTTTTCGCCTTATGGCAGTAAAAGTAAAATCATCTAATTTGTCTTTGAAATTGTATTTCGGTCCACGTTTCTCGGGTGATTTAAATTGTTCATTTTTTTCTTTGTATTCTTTTAATACACTGTAAACCGAGGTCACACCAATTCCCAAAATGTCAGCTGTTTTCGAAACACATTCCTGTTTTTCGGGGGTTTCAAAAGGTAATAGAGAAGCAGCTTTCTCCTCAAATACGTGTTTATACACGTTCTGTACCATGAGCTTTTCGGTAACGCTTAACGAAACCCGTGGTCTCTTCCTTCTCGGAGACAAGCTTTGACTTGACGTGCTTGGTTGAGGATCCATATTGTTTAAAGGAAACAATGAACCACAATAACCGCAAACACAACGAAACAAAAAACTTAACAAAACAACGTGAGCGCAGAAATAACAAAGTACGTGCTTTCAGACCAGAGGTTAGAAGCCGAATAACAATCAAAATGGCGACCGACGCGCGCGACGTCGATCGGTGTTGTCAGTACTCGCCGCGCCGCGCTTTACAATAAACTATCAAATATTGATACAATTTTATTAGAAATAGAAATAATATTCATTTATGTTTTGGAATGATTAAAATTATGAACTATTCACATTCATTGTTCATTCATTTGATTGAACGAGAACTGTAGCCATCACTATTACTTTAAATATGGCCACATTATTTTACAATTTGACATTAGCCATTGTCAGTTGACTTCGTCTAATTAAAAATACGACTTTAGTCCGTACCCCAAACCCCACACACGGAGTAGTAACGTTAGAACTCAGTACTCAAAGATTATGTTTCATGTTCCAACACTACAAGTGAGCAATCAGAATTGCTTGTAAGAAAATTTGCCATTAAATCAAATTAGGTTCTAGAAAGCTGTAGATTTCAAAAGAGTAATCGAAGCGTAGTTTTTGAGTTTGTAAGCAAACCAAACATAATCTTTGAACGGCAGCATTCCTATCTGATAGCTAGACATTAGGAGTGGTTTTGAGTGAATGTGTTAATTACCTTCTTTTTCTTTTTGTGTCGTTCATCGTCCGAGGATGCGGAGTCGCTGTCCTGTGCCCCCTCCGAGCTACTCGAGCTGTCGGACTCTGGTGGTGACTTGGAGCGCTTCTTCTTTTTCTTGCTCGCTTCTTGTCTGGTAACAAATAAACATCATTTACATATCTCCACATTGCTATGTCCAATAATATTATTATAACCTTGGATATAACACTTGTTTAATGAAATGTAATAGATAAATATGGTTACTATGTCTTCTGTTTATACTGATTCTTATACAGAAAAACTTTGGAAATATCGGTATGTAATTGTCATTTTTAGAAAGTAGGTCATCCGCTGTGCTGCAATCCATATATTAACATTCGCTTGCAAAACTAACGGGATAATGTATTAAGTATTAAGATTTCCTTGACGTCAAATTCAAAAAACACAATAATAAATGAAAGCTCAAGTGATTGAGACCTGAGTTTGTGCCCTTGGTTAGTATTCATGTGCTTTATAATGTGGAGGAGGAGTTTTTGAGAACGAGTGATCATATTGACTGTACAATTTGTTATGAAATAAGCATACAAGTATCGAAAGCGTTGCAACACTGCACTTAGATATAGTAATCAATACCGTACAGCCATAAAACGACAATAATTTCCATTTCAATAAAAACAATAAAAATACCATTATTTCCCAATCTAAGTAAATAAAGTTTTTATTAAACCTCATACCATACCTAGTGATGAAGTTCCATAACATTTTTCTTTCACTGAAATGATCACCAGACATATTTGATACTTGAATTTATAAAGAAATAAATAAAAAGGCATTTTATAATAAATATTTTGATACTTGCCTCTTGGACAACCGTAGAGTCACCTGTCTGGGTTCAAATGTAATCTATGAAATTTACGCCAATATTTACAAAATTATATAAAATGATATAAATAAACAAATATGTTTAAGTTACATAAATGACAAACACTTACTTCTCCTTTTTATTTTTCTTTGACTTTTTCTTCTTCAGCTTCTTGCCATCTGGTGATGTACTGGAATAGAGAACATAACTAATGAGGACAACGGTACAAACGTTTTAAAGTAGTTAGTACTTACGGTAAACAACCAAAAATTGTAGATTTTTAACTATTTTTATACAATAATTAAAAATTGGTTTCCTTTGTTTTTTTTTTCATTAAATTTGAATAGTATCTCGTCTGTAAGAGGGAAGGGTAATTTGGATAAGATAATGCTTTAGGAGTGTGAATTACCTTCTCTTTTTCTTCCTCTTTGGTGGGTGCGGGTCTCTCCCGTCGCGCTCGTGGCTGGGCGTGCGCACGAGCGGGTAGCGCTGCGCGTGCTCGCGCGCGCGTCGCTCGGGGTCCAAGCTGGAGCCCTCCACGAACCGCGGCGAGATACCGAACGCGTCACGCAGCCGAGCGTTCTTCTCCTGCTGGGCTTCGGCCACCGCGTGCGTCTCGCGAACGCTAACGAACAATATTAAACACTATGTAACCTCACCGCTTCCAAGTTATTATCGTAATACCAAACAAACGACTACTTTTGTATTTAATAAAACAAAAGCGGTCTAACACATATTTACCTGCACAGCACTTAAGTGCGCTAAAAATAGGGAAATATTATTTTAGCAAAACATTATTTACTAAAACCATTATTCTCTTAATAAATCTTGACATTGCATAGAATCAATGATTTACGCATCAAGTAAGTATATCGAAAACGTGTGAAATCGTACAGTTATTTCAATTAGTACCTTTTAGAACTGTGGATATGTAAGTTTTAATGAAACGTGAAAATTCATATCGGTCGAAGGCGGTGACCCATATTTATAGTACAACTGTCTGCAAGACCTACGGTGCAATACGTACAGTAAGATATTGATCAAATGTGTGCACACCTTATGACGGATCGCATGGACTTCCTCTCCTCATCGTTGGAGAGACAGACCTGCAAATTGTCGTTAAAGTTGCGATCTGTCGCGTTACAATTACAGCGGCAGCAGCACGAGTTGCGGAGCCCCTCGAGGATGGTGCGCAGCGCGGGTGCGAGCGCGTCGGTCGGCGCGGGCCGCGGGACCAGGCTCGGGAGCGCCACGTCGGAGGTGGGCTCGTGCGAGGAGGCCCGCGCGCGCCGCGCCGGCCCCGCCAGTACAGCTTGAAACGTGCCCCGCCACAGCCGCTCGAATACGACCCTATTGTTTTGTGTTGCATCGCGTCGCGGAGCCCTGCCCTGCCTTTGCATCTTAATCTACTTACTTAACTAATGGAAGACTTGGTTTCTTAACGCTAATATAATATTTCCTAAGACTAATGCATGGCGGCTGTGCCGCGGAAGACTTGTTTGAGCAGAGGAGTGTAGAGGGCTACATCCTAGAGCGGCCGGCAGCGGACCGGCGGCGCTACTGCGGGGCGTCGGGCGCCATAACAGGAAACACGCAGACGCGCGCAGCCTGCGCAAACATCGGATACGCGCCTTGTCGCCGCGATCGCACAAAGGGATCTCTCCCCCACACCCTTCTGTACAGCCCTCTAGTAATTTACTCTCATTTGCAAAACGAATACTTCCTTAAAGCAAATGATTTTGAACAATTCAGTTCGGTCACAAGTTAAATAACTTGTGTTGTGTGGCCAGGAAAAAGTCTCGTATGCAATGTCCCATACATTAAAATTTTCATTTATTTGTGTTCCATGTAAAAGTCATGTCTTATTAGTAGTGATGTATCAAATCGGATTATCCGCAGTCGCGCCTGTTTACTGACGACGTAAAATATCGCAGCGTCTTTAGTTCTATTCCTGAACAGTACGTGCACACGCTTTTTAATAAACTCCACATCTAAATGGGTATTTTTGGACCGAAGTACTATTTTAGATTTTTAAATTGTAGGAATTCTTTCTCTTTATAGCTAGTTCCTAGTAGTAATACATTAGTTGTAACGTCGAGCAATTAGTAATAATTTACGAGTGTCATTGTAACGAACATGTCGTCAGTCTCATTCAAATCATAATAGTAAATAAATCTTGTTAGCTATGTCGGAGCATTTGATTTGTAGAGAGGAGTGCGTAATACGTGTCTTAATAACTAATAGACGTTAATAGGTACCCGGTATTTGAGTTACTCGACAATTTTATTGTTCTGAAGTATTGTCAGAAGCAGATAAACAAAACCTAGATATTTATGTTCGTTTTCCAAACATAGAGAGAATTAATAAAATAAGAGGTATTTGGCATAGGTATTATTAGGTATACTCAGAATCAGTGTACAAACACGCTCGTGACCCAATTATTTTCGTAACCCTGAGGCTTTGCTTGTATTACGGAGTATTCAATTTGTTTGAAAGCCTCCAGTGACGCGACTTTCGATTACGGGGCTTGAATATCTTTGGAAAATTTTCATGAAAGGAAGCTTCATTTTCTGTATAGAACGTGAATGTTTTAAAACAATGGATCCGCGGTATTCAGGGAGACAAACAGAGCGCCCTAAAGTCGGTCTAGTGGCGTTAAGTGCAGCCTATTCTCTGCCCGAGAATGGGAGCAAACAATTAAGGTTCGTACAAAGAACTATAATTGGATCATTAGGAAAAGTGTAACTCTTAACTACTGTAGATATTTGTGCCCTGTTTTATGTGAAATAATTATTATGTGTAGGTAACGAATAACATAAAATATTTTAACGAACCTAATAACTTTACGCACGCGATCAAGATACAAAAATAAAGCATTGCTTTTTAATTACAAGTTACGTGACTTTTTTTTAAGGTAAATGATGCATTAAACATTTTTGTTTTCAAAGGAACTACTTAAGCGTTTTACGTATCATTAGAACACACAAATTAGCTAAGAGTTTTAAAATATAGCATCATAATAATTGGCACATTTACATACGAATATTTCCGTAATAATAAAGTACTCAGACTTATTCTTATTGACAAATAATAAATGACAGTCATAGTAACGAAAGCATCCGAAAATGTGAATTATAGTTGGCTGTACAATGCGCACCTGTGCCTGATTGTTCACTGCCAGACTGCCAATCGCAGTGTTGATCCTGGCAGGCGGGTCTCATCTCGTGCCAAATACCCATGTATCACGAGTACGCGTATCTTTAGCCGTCCATAAGCAAGGAGGTGCGGTTTCTGGCACGCACTATGCTTATCCCGCGGCCACTCCCGTTAATTACTATATACGCCTGCCAGTCTCACCGTTCATTTGTTTTGCGATTGCGTGACTAATAAATAAATGTGTCAAAATTTTATACGTGCTCAGATTTTATAGCGGGCCTAGTAATGATTTGTTAGCAATCCGAGTGTTTATTAGTGAAATGTACGTTCATTGTACGCGAGCTTAATGTAACAGTGCGATGGTGGAATATATTTTTATGCGCACCGCGCCTTCGTGTTTATTATTAAAAATAAAACAGTACATTATTTGGGACGAGGTAAAAAGAAAACAATTTGCCTGTGTGTGAGTCTTGTTACGAAATTGTCTGCATTCGTGGAAACTTTCTCTGAAGTATATGATGTCTGAATAAATTATTGTCTTTCAACAAGTTCATTATTATGGATCGTGAGGACACAATCTACGAACAGGTGAAGGACTAAGTTAGAACGACATGTCAAATGCGACATCACTATAATCATTATGTCAGATACTTAGGTACCAAATGACTGCAATAAAATGCTCAACTGAGTGGTCATGGTCGTAAACGAAGCTATGTATTGTGTTTAACTTCTTTATTTTCTAACACAATCTGATATTGTTTTTTAAAATGGTAAATTGTTTTTCATTACGGAAGGTAATAAAGAAGAAAGTACTCCGATGTGTCTAACTATTTGTACGATTGCAGGGTTTAAACTCTGGAATTACTGGGCCGATTTCAAATAAAACTTATTGGAGTCATTTTAATCACCCTTAGGGACTAAAAAATGTTGATTTATTGTCGGAAACCTTTCCCAGGTCAGTCTACAACCAACTGACATCTCTACTAACAAACGGATATCGCATTAATATTTAATACAAGTATAATAATACAGCTATTTTCTGCGTAATTAGGAACACCTGATCAAATCAGTTCATCATGTATACATAATAGACCATTTCCAAACGAAAACTATTTTAGGTTAAGGAAATCTATTTCGATACATTTTAGGTGTGACGTCATCATTATTAACACGTCGTTCTCAAACGAGGCATAATACCACAGTTTCTTGTCAACCCACTGTAGGACTATCGGCCCCTGTAAGAGGGTTTAGCCTGATGGCCAAGCTTAGAGAAGATTCTCTAAAGCTTGGTCGGCGGGTTTGAGGTCGCAGTTCAAAAGGTTCAGGTTTATCAGAGGGTCCTGCTGACCGGTCTCTTATAAATGGGTAATCCCCTGTAGAGTAGTGACAACTGAAAATAAAATCTATTTGGACAGATTTAGGGTATCTTATATACCGTTATCAAGTACTTGTAAACTTATTACCTTAGAGGGGTACCGTAGCTACGAGTAAGTACGAAGTTATAAACCAACCAGGTAATACGATAATTCGTTTTTGTATTACATTCGAGATTAGAATTCCATGCAATCATTTTTACATTGATTTCCCACGTAATTTTTGCTAACAAAAATACGTTTAAAGTGATTATTTTAACATCAAATCAACTTGTGGCCAGTAATTTCAGTTGAACAGTAATTTATCGTCATAATTTGCAATGACGACGTGACGTAATTGTAAAAACAAAAGAAAAAAATTACCATTTTTGAAAATCTCATTTGATAACGAAAGTAGACATCTATTTTGTAGAACATAGAAGTAGCAAAATCTCATGATAATGTATGTACCTTTTAAGTTTTCATTTTCAATCCCATCTACATAAAATCAATAAATAAATGTACCATACCGTGCTTAACCATAACTTTGTACTAAATCACACACTACAATGTGGTATAATGGTTTGGTTTACAACCTTTACTTGGCTAGATCTATAGTTATTACTAAAGTGGGATGGGTGTACATCGTATTAAAACTCCTGTGACCTCCCGTCTCCCTGTCGCGAGTCGCGGGTGTGAGGTACCGACGTCATGCAACGCGATCGATATGCAAGGACCCTACAATATCGGCTACGTTCGCCGAGGTCTGCGACTTTCTGCTGAGATTCTATAAATAGAATTACAGGTGCTATAATTGGGGGCCATCTTTGGTGTTATTTTTGAAAGGGAAGCCTTTTTAGAAATTTTATAAGCGAATCTTTTGAAATATCTTGAATTAATTATAGGATTAATTAAAGCGAATCTTTTTAAACAACTTGAATTGATTATAGGACTAAATAAGTTAAGATTTCGAAATAGGTTAATTATAGGACTATACGAATCTTGGCCATAATTTTACTGGATATTTGTACATTGATTCACTATAGAAAATAGATTTAGTAATATTGATTGAAACTTATAGTCAAGTCTGGTAAGAATTCTTAACCATTTTTCAGCACCAAATACATAACTTAGCCTAATGATTACAGATATAAGAAGCCTATTTTAATACTGAAAAGAAAGTAGAAAAAGATAGGTCCTTAGAGAACAATTCAGGCCGCGATTTTATGTGAGAACAGACGTAATTGGCTTACCCAGTTACCTACTGGGCGATAAAATGGCCCTCGCTGACTCTAAGGCGTTCCCTAGAGGACGGAATACCGGCAATCAAGTAGCATATAAAAATAACATGAACACAGAGAACGTTTTTAAAAGTTCGTGAATGGGTCCCGAGAGACGTGTTTCAACCGCTACCAAGTCCTAAAGTAATTTATTAAAAACTTTAGCAATCCATTAAAAAACAATGAACGTGAAGTGTGAGGTTTCTTTCAAACAGTTTTCTATGGCCATAGACCTTGGTAACAGGAAATGTGTAGGTAATGTATTGCTTTGACTTTCATATTCATACGGAAAATGGTAAATAACTATTTTCATAGCACAATTGTAATCTAGGTCAAATGTCTTGAAATCATACATAAAAGGTCGGATTTTGGACATTATCTAAAGATAGAGCGCAAAAATTCTCGCGTTTCAACTTCTGGGTAACAAAATTTCAGTTTACATTACACAAAAATCTTAGGAATCTTGGAATACTAAAGTAAAACGATAAATCCATTGATTACATGACCAATCCATGATCCAATGACCACCCTCACGTACATAAATAAAAAAGAACAACCAGGAAACCTCACATCAATCTCTAAGCAGCGAATCCCTTACACAGTCCTAACTTTACTTCATTACATCAAACATAGTCCTTCAAGTTCCACCACGACAATCATAACACTCACTCCCCAGTATAACAGTTAACGATCTTGGTTTACGTGCACTGGCTACTTGAGACAAAAGTTTACAGGTTTACCTGACATTTACGAGACAATACCGATCGTTATAAATTATACTTCTATCTATCGATAGCGATGTGGATGTGGAGCAACTGAAATAGATCGGGAGACCAACGTAAATAGTGTCTTCGGTTTATGATGGGCTGGTTTGTCAGATTATCTGGATTGATTAGTGTTGCGTGTAGTTATAAATTGTGATATTCGTTATGTATTGTGGCTTATTGTTTGTTGTTATTGATAGATCAAATCCTAAAATATTACAATTTAAAATACGTGTGGAACTAAAAAAATTGTTACGTAACTGTGTTAAGTGGTGCTGTCTAGAACATTACAATAAGCTGTTAAGTTACAGACGCGATTAAAGGAGATGGTAAAGTTTTTTAAAATGACACCAAAAATCGGTATTAGTGATTATATATTATCTTATCAGCTCTCTTGCTAAATGGCTTAAGGACTTCACAGTTTAGCCCCATACCTTATTTTAAAAGCATAAACTGTAAGGTGGAGATGAAAAATCAATATAGGGTGGCAGCGAGCTCACCTGCAGGTGCATCGGACATTGACCTCATTAAACAAGTAATTTTATCTTTACAAATAATCAGATTTCATTTAGCGAATAACTACAGTATGAAATGTTCCGAACTTCTGCGGATATCTGAGGATTTTCGGCAAAGATAATGTATGTAATATATAAAAACAAGCAACACGTATGAAGCACGTACGCGTGTACCATATAAATAACACCTAAGAACTTTGTAAGAAAATCAGCTGAGTACATATTTCCACAGACCATGGTGACAAGCAAAAAAGAACTCTACGAACATAAAGATTTACACCTGTATTTTCAAGTTTCAATGCCTTGGTAGAATGTATTGATCGGAGCCGGACGACCGTTTATAAAGGCAGAAACCCGATGTAGTGTAGTAGGGGATTATTATCTTAAGATATATCTTACAGTTCCATGGCGAAATGGATCCTTATAAAATAATGACTTCTTGATTCGTTATTTATTTAAGAAATATTGTGATTTTTTGATTAGTCTTTTATTTTAACAATGCGCGACCACGTTAATTATAGAAATGTATGGTAGCCATGGCTCATTAAGTTTAGATTTAACTAATTACGAGTAAATTTTCCGATTCATTAGTTCTGGATAATGTACACAATATAATAATTTACATGTAAGTGTTGTTAGTGAGACGGATATCTAATTAAAGTACTAATAACCGGCGAAAATTAATTTAACGCTTGCAAATAAGCAATCAAATTAATTAAAATCTCGATTATGCGCCCACCATCTACAAATAGTGAATTTTGCTTGCGTATTAGATAGAATGAAACTGAAATTCGTTAATTTCATGCATTAGATTACGACTAATTGGATTACCAGACAGCGAATTGCGATTGTAGACTTTAGAAAATTAAAAACCGTGTATCGTAATTACTTTTGAGTACCTACCTAATGAATTTAGTTTAGATTTAGAGTTCTTTATCTAACTTTGGCACCTTAAAACTTAGTAAATACTTTCTAGGCGTGTCTAAACAACCACGGTCATTATTCCTGGACTAGACCACTTTTAGACTAGTCTAATCCCTTCAGATTATCAGACATAACCCTTTGAGTACCGTCATTGTAGACACAATTAAAGAACAATAGGTTGCGGTCACAGGTGTCCTCGAGTTGTTTGACAGTTTAAAAAATAACTACATATGTACCAAAAAATAAAGTTATTCGTCTCTATAAAAAAAATCAGCAAGGATGTCACCCACACAGTTTATTACCCTCAAACGGCATTTATTCCCATGTCTATCATACGCGCTGGAGAATTTGATTTAATCAGCCATCAATTGATACGACCAACACGTAGAAATTGAGGAGCTAAGTGATTACTTCCTCGTGACAAATGTGAAAGCATAATACAGTGGAATAAATAGTAAAATGACAAATGGAATATGTACTAATGTTAGCATTAGTAGTTAAAATTAGAACTTATAAAGGACATTTCAACAACAAAGCTAATCACGTTTTTACTAAAATAAAATCCGATAACGTGCACGTAAGGCGTTAAATTTAATGCTCGATTATAATGAAAAACATTTTCTTACTATATTCCTAACTTGGTAATTTATAATAACTGTAATAATATTTGACAATTTTAACGCTGTAATAAGCGCGTGCGCATATGATCTAAATACCAAATGTGCAACATTTTTTGCTCGTCTCGATACATGTTAATCAGTAACTTATAGTGATAGCATGAACTGAGCACTTATTATTACATGAATGAATAACTTCCTGATTTTAACTCGAAGAAAAATATCACACATTTTACAGTTTAACATTCTGAATTAACCCAGAATTATTTCTCTACTATTTATCTCTAAATAATTAAAAGGTACTCACGCAACTCTCCCGAATTCGTCCCTCGGCACGTCCTTTTCTCCAGTGCTGGTGGTGGAGATCTTCGCTCTGAAGGCAGCCACTCGCGCCGCGATCTCCTCCTTCGGCAACCTACGCAACCATACCAGTGAAACACTCATTTATTCACTTTTATAATAAAATATTACAAACAATCGTAATCCTGAATAGGCAGCGCGCCGGCGAACGCGCGTGGACGGTTTACTTGCAGCCAATGGATTCACGAATGTCTCAGTGAGCGACCGCGTACCGACAAGCGTACATGAAAATCTTATAATAAATTTCCCAGCGTAATACCTACCAGTGCATGATACGCCGAGCCGCTATAACGGAGTACAATTACTTTTTGAAAACTATAAAACCCGATAAGACGTTCTTGTTGCACGACTGTAAACTGAATGCGGACGGGGTCTGGTTATTGAATAATATATAACGCGAAGGGTGGCCTAGTCTCGCACTGTTGAATTATTGATCGGACTCCGGCGCAGCGGCCATCGCCCCTAAACAGGGGTGCGATCTATACGCACCGACTTAGTAGGGGATCATTTTCATTGGACAAAATAAAAACAAGGGATTTTATTGAGTAGTAAATCGATAAAGCAACGTGACCTGAGTGAACATGTGCAATTGTATGTTTGAGCTAATAAAGAACTTGTTACTACTCAACTTACCTATTTAGTCATTTATACTAACTACTTCAGAAATGTTCGAGCGTCAGGAATAATTATAATATAATATTGAACGAGGTTTTTGAAACTACATACATATATTATATAATTTTAAAGGGATTTGTATCTGTTTAATATGTCAATGTGTGGCATTATAATGCCGTTAATTCACAGCACATTTGAAACGTAGTAGCTTGACAAATAAACCTCTTAAATTAATCTGAATTTTTACCTTATTTTTCTTGGTCATATAATATGGTAAGAGCACAATTGAAATCATAATCGTAACTATGCAATCCTATAACAAAATCAAACACACGACCTGATACTTTTGCTGAGTTTCTACATTAATAAGAAAGCTATAAAGGAGCTTCATTTAGCTTTTGAAATCCTATTTACCACAAGTCTTAAATAAAAGAGGTTTGGTCCGTGCAAAGATAGAGGTCCTCAATTGTCGTCAATTTAAATTCTAACGATTCTTGCGGCAAAAGGCACAAAGGTTCAAAGAAGGTCAAGGATTACATATGAATTAATTATTAACATGATAAAGCAAGTAAAGGAAATCCCAAAAACAGGGTAAACCCATTTTGTCCAGTAATAAATTGGGGTAAACCCCTTCTTGTCCTGTAATAAATTTAATACAGTTGAATAAGCATGGTCTTATTCATCTGTATTCAATTATTCAACTCCAGCGCAACGGCTATCATTCAATTAAGTTTACGATGACAGACCCAATAGACTTGGAAGATTTGCGGAGCCAACATTTTATTTTCTAAATGTATAAATAAGTTAACCATGTATAAACAAAATAAGAGGTCGCTTGTTTATGTTACGTGATAGTTCCGGTAATTATTATCGAAGTTTTGAACAAATTTTTCAACATCAATTATTTCTCCAACACAGGAAGGGGTCAAACTACAACAATTTTAATGGATATTTTTCCGCCAATTTTAATTTACGACCATTCTCGATGACCAATCTAATAGTGGATTAGTTACAGAAGATAAATATTTGACATAAGCTGCATACAACATGTCCCCAATTTATAATAGATAATTTCATGATTGTCTATTTGAAAACATATGTTAATAAGAACCCAGAACTAACAGCGGTGAATTTAGAAATACAGCATTGGTTATCAGTTTTCCTGTGTTTTGATTACATAAATTAAATAAGTAATGCGTAGTGTTTGATTACGCATTTTATACCAGATCCCGTGAGTTTCACGGTCAGTCTATACATTAAGTTTATTTGTTTGAAAACATAACAGACTTCTGTAGTGCTAAGCTTTCTTTCGTCAGACATTCTTGTGGTTATTTTTATAATTATAAATTAGCGAAGATATACTTCGAAAGTAAATTGATTAGTCTTTTCAAACAAACATTACATCTTCTTAATTGTAATGTACAGTTTACTCACGCAACTATTCGACCAAGTTGACTACTCTCGTGCCGAATATGGCTATGGATTCCCAGCGTAGCTTGAAACTGTTCGAGTTATCTCAAATATAACAAGTAAACCATATGTCATAATTTGTCACACTTTTGTTTATTTTAATGTAGGCACATAAATTCATGGTTCATCCAAATGCAGAAGGATAAACAATTTATCTGTATTATGCACACATTGACCGACATGTAAAGTATGTGAGAGTGATGTTGCTAAGGTAAACATTACACAAATTATTTAGTGGTATTTTATAATATTGTATTACCCGTACAAGCTTTGGAAATAATTTCCAAAATCAAAGAGGTAATAAACAATTCTGAAAAATATCACACACTGATTTCATTTGTTAAGTGAATGCGGCTGTCAAACAAGAGGTTTGGAATCAAAATAATACTTCTAAACTGCATTGCAATCTTAACATGTTGAAATATCTGAAAGATCATCCCCTAAATTTGTTCATACAAAAGTAGTCTCTAAACATCAGAAATAAGGTCTAAAATGTAGGTAGTGGAGAGCGGTCATCAGTGCTCGCTTGGGGATATATGAGTTAATTGAAACTAACATTTGGAAAAGAACATTTATGCAACTAGTGGATTAAAGTTTCATTAGAAACTTCAAATTAGTCTTCAATGCAGTTTGTATGAGATTATGAGTTAGATGACAGTACAAAATGTTGCTGAATAGCATAGCATGTATGTTTAAATAAATCAGTAAAATGGGACAACAGTTTGTGCATTTCTTTTTTTTGCAGTTTGAAATAACAATTGAACAATAACACTGGCACTAATGAATTCAACTGATAAAACCACAAAAATACTTGTATAATTAGTGCCATGTGACAAACTAGTATTTTATCATTGCGGCTTACATTAAAAACAAATTATTACGTTTACTTAAATTGTAAAATAAGTTAAAAACTGATCCATAAATTATGTTTCATAAAAATATACAGTATTAGGTAAATTATAAACAAGTATAAATTTAAAAAACAGATTTAGTCAAAATTATAAAATTGTGTTTTTATTGCTTTTCCTAATGTATCTTTTGCATCAGATAGAAATTAAATAAATAACCCTTCATAACAAACCAAGATTATATCAACATTTTAGAAGGAAAAACCTAATATGGTTAGGGGCAGAAAATTTAACAATAGTACTATTAATTAAAACTAACCTCTAACTAAAGTTAGTGCAATGATTAATTTTATCATCAACAATTAGTTAAATGTTTTTCTAATTACCTTTTCCTAGCAATCTTCATTTTGAGAACCTTTTTAGCCGCAACAAGCTTCATTATTGTATTGTATACAGTTATAATCACAAATGATGGAATAATAAGAAATTGATTAAAACCAGAACAATAATAATTGAACACTAGTTGTGTAGATTGTTAAGAACACAAGCCAATAACTTGGCTTAGAATGATGTGGGCTTTAAAAAGTGCATGAAAAACGATTGCTCGCCAATAAAATACCACAAAATAAAACTGAACAATAAAACTTTGTAGATTACTTCAAAACATACTAACTATTACGTCACGGAATATAAGTCATTGAAAACAAGGTTTATAACTTCATCTACTCACCCCTGTTCCTCCAAACTATCTTCGAGTTCTGCACATTTCACCTCAATCTTCCTTTTCCTCTCATGATCAAGAATCTCCCGGTTCGGCTGTTTGTTTGACGCAGAATCCAACTTGGCTATTTCTTCCTCAGTGCGATAATTCACTGAATCTTTGGTTTTCCGCACTCCCGCCCAGTTTCTTTGCACATATCCGTTAGTACCAGAGCCTCGTGGCGTCGTCAAACCAATACCATTATACATTTTGCCGGTTTATTTACCTAAAAATCATAAATCAATTTATGGCATGCTCAGTGAGGGGCATGGCTAACTTGACAATCACAAAGTTGGCGTCGTTGAAAAATTAACTTGGTACAATAATGTAGAAGCACTTGTTCAGTTATTTAAATAAATATGTATCAACACAGATATCTCACCATTTACCAGAACCCCGTTTAATTCAATTTTTATTCATAAGACACACGTCCATCTTAGCTGGTTCTGATTTTTTTTGTGGATGACTTTCTTGCAGAGTTGCCATTGTTAGAAAAACATAATAGACTAATTTATATTTTTATCTATCATGGTTTGCTCGTCAAATTAGGATTTTAGATGTTCAATAAATTAAAACATTTTAATTGCATTTAATGTACGCCTCTTGAAGTTTAATTAATTAATAATTTAGTAGTATTTATAATTATTGAAAAAATTTTCACCATAAAGAATAGCGATGCTTATTTTATACAATAATGTCATTTGTTTCGACTGCCACTGTCATTTATATTTGACATTTGACGTCGAGGTTTCAGGTTATGTTTTGTTTATATAGACGAGTCCGCTCAAACTCCTCAATAAATCTCGAAAAATAACTGAAATAACACCTATCTGTGTTATAATTACACTATTATAACCACAAATTGGAATCATGCTTGATAAAATCCTTTATAACACAGTGTTATCCCAAACACTCTCACCTTGCGGGAAGTATTTGATCGCCGGCAATATTTACAGTCAGTTGGCCGTGTATGAGTAAGTTTGTTTAGAATTAATTCAATAACCTTAGTTTTCATTTAATTGTCTTTTTATTGCTCCCGTTACTTATTTTTATCTCACCAATATTTTCAGCCTGGATCGAATCCTCAATCCTGTCGTCGAACTTCTCACATCTGATTATAACAAGCCGAAACACATTCACACTCTTGAATCTGGGCACCAAATATGCAGTTTAGCGAGTACAGAAAAGTTTTTAATAGTTGGTACAGTTAATGAAATATCAGGCTGGGATTGGAAAAGTGCAGTGAGTTCAAAACTGAGTAAGCCTTCATGGGTCATACGGATACCTTCTCATTCGTCTATGGAACAGACTGATGTGAATAGTCTGTGGTTATCTGAAGATGAGTCGAGGTTGTATGCTGGTTGTGGGGATAACAATGTCTATGTTTTCCATTTGGAAGATGGCAGACTAGTGTCCACATTCACGGGACATAATAACTTCATTCATGCTATTGATGGAAAGTGAGTAGTAATATTTTTCTACTGCTTGGCCTAAGTTATTCAATCTAGCCACAATATCTATATCAATTATCATTGCATGTGCAACAAAGACTCTTATTCTCAAATATTATCTTTACAGGCACCAACAATTAATCACAGCTAGTGAGGATGGGTGTGTAATGCTCTGGGACACTCGTACCAGCTCCAGTCACAACAAACTGGAGCCCCACACTAACAGTAAAGTCGCCCGGCCTGATATTGGCAAGTGGATGGGATCTGTAGCCCTTGGAGAAGACTGGATTGTAAGTATAACTGTTAGTTATATTTATCATGTAGTATGCTTTGCAATAGAAATCCAGCTTTGTTTTTAATAAGCCTACTACCTTTTAAATACTAAGTTTTGAAGACACTAAAGGAATACTAAAATTAATGTATCAGTAGTTTCCGACTTTGTAAATTTTTTATCTTAATTTCTAGGTCTGCGGTGGTGGTCCTCGCCTAGCTCTCTGGCACCTGCGGTCTTTGGATGCAGTCACAGTCTTCGACATTCCTGACCATGGCATCCATGTGTCTTTCTTCCACGATGACTGTGTCTTCGCAGGCGGAGCAGCCAAGCACTTCTACCAACTCAGTTACTCTGGAGAAATCAAGGTGGAACTACCAGTATCAGCCACCACAGTTTACTCTGCAGTCCTAAGAACAAATCCCAAGGTCCTGGCCATTGCTGGCTCCAGCCCAGAAATAGACCTGTGCACCACCTTCAACTATAGAGATCAAGTCCTACATTTTCGATAGGTAAGCTATTTAGGGAATATTTCTTGACAAATAAGTAAAATTTACAAGCTAAGACAATCAATAAATGAATGACATCAACAAAATTTTATTATTTACAACACACACACTTATATCTAAGACTTTTAATTATTCAATTTCTGTATTTAGTAAGCTCAACACAGAAAATCCTTTGAGTTGTGTAACACTTTCTTCAGATAGCTTCAAATGCAATTTGAACTCTATTACTCAACATTAGAAATGCTATTTCTTTGTTTATTTGTAATTGTCATGAATTAGGAACTAGAGGTTTCCTTCTTGAACGCTAAATATAGCCATGACCGGCAACTGCAGCGGGAATGAACCCTTGGCTACCATCTTTCTTCTTGACGTAGAACCACTCAGCGTCTACGTCAGTCTCAACCCCTCCACCTTGCACAAGGACCACTACATCCCCCTTCTGCACTGACAAAGTTTTGTTCAACACACTCCCCACGTAATCACTATTCACTACTAATAAAGTCTGTCTCTTCACTTGTCTAAAATCCCTATTCTCCTTCTCATGTATCTTATCAATATTAGAACAAACGGATTTGGTCTTTAAATACAGCGAATCAAAGTCTTTTTCTGCGCACGAGTTCTTGGATTTTCGTCGTGTAGTTTTGGATGGGTAGCGACACTCGGATCGCGTGCGCCCGCGCAGTTGTTCCTTCTCGTTGTCTGTGAGATTTCCACATGGTCGCGGGTAGATGTCGGTACTACTTTCCCAACATGGTGTCTTCTTTTGTGGTGACGTTCTAGAAAATTATGAAGATAGTTTTAAAACAAAACATTTTAAAATAGTTATACTCTGTAGCTTTTACTAAAAAGTACCTATCTAAAGTTTAAATGGGAGTCGGTTAGAGTTAGAAACCGCAGTACCTATAAATAATTTGCTTATCCTACAGAGAAAAATAGGCATCTGAACTATTGTCATTATCATCAACAGCCATTGACAATGCACTGCTGGACTATTTAACTTCTGTACTTGAGAGGGGGTTTTGTGCCTGTTCAACTGCAGTGGTGGAGTGAAAGAAGTAGAAAACTCAACAATGTACCTGTTAGGCAGTATTCCCAGCGGTAAACAGGCGCTATACAGCACATAACCCTCGTCACCATGCGGCGTCTGCGCATACAGCCACTGCTCGTTCTTGAACACCGCGTTGACGACTGTGCCCAGCGGTAGCGACAGTTCTTGCTGGACATCCTTCTGCGTCTGATACAGGGTGCTAGGGTATGCTATCACGACTGGAATGTTGCCTGGACGGTCTATAGTTGCCTGGAAAAAGAAATTAGTGCTAATAGTAAAATAATACTCTAATAGAGTACTATTTTAGATAGATAGATATTTTTTTATCGCATAAGCCGGTAAACGAGCAGACGGATCATCTGATGGAAAGCAATCGGCGTCGCCCATGGGCACCTGGACCACCAGAGGCGTTACAAGTGCGTTACTGGCCATTTGGGGATTAGGAGTTTGAGGATCGTTGGGGATTCAGGGATTGGGGAGATTGGGGAAGGGGAGGGTAATTGGGCCTCCGGTAACCTCATTCATACGACGAAACATAACGCAAGCGTTACTTCACGTCGGTATTCTGTGAGGCCGTGGTATACTCCAGTCGAGCCGGCCCATTCGTGCCGAAGCATGGCTCTCCCACACTTGTATCTTGAATGTAAAGATCTTCAAAGGCTTTTTTAAAGTGGAGGGGACTATATTTTTAACACTCTCAACACAATATACTACAATATATAATCATACCATAAAAATGCAACATGAAAGGAAGACAAACTAACGCTTTCCCATTTATAAAATTAGTCTGAGCATAAAGAACTAATCAATTATTCGGATTCACCTTTAATGTTAAGAATCCACTACAGTACCTCCATTTGAAGGCTTATACTTAGTTTAAAAATTTCAATCATATTCAAATGTCTGATAAAAATGCTATAAATCAATTCATGAAGTTTAATGTATAAAGTATTAAGAAGTAATTTGATACAGGAATGTACTTATTTAGTTATGCTTGTCACTACAATCTATTACATAAATGCAGTGGCGTAACTACAGGGTAAGTCAGCAAAATGCTACGGGTCCCCAGCCGAAATGAGCACCCGTCCTAAACTTCTCGGTTTTAATAGGCAAAGCAGACAGTATATTTACGCCACTGCATAAATGTATTAAACACTAGCTTTTACACGCGGCTTCGCTCGCGTCACAAAAGGATAAAAAGTGGCGTATGTGACATATACCGATACATACAGCGCCATCTATACTAATATTTTTGTTTTTCCTCGCGAATATCACATTTTTCCGGGATAAAAAGTTGGACTTCAAACTTTACGTTTGCAAAATTTCAAAGCAATCGGTTTAGTAGTTACGGCGTGAAATCGGAACAAACAAACAAACTCACTTTCCCATTTATAATATTAGTAAGGATGGGTGTTCCTATGAGCTCCAAAACAGCTGTAGCTTTAATATAGTGCACAAAAATAGGTAATCGCGAGTTAGTTTTAGCCAAGGTTCAACTTGCTTTTAAAGTTATACTTAACACGACCAGACGTCCCGTTTTGAACGAAACTGTCCCCTTTTATAATTAAGTTGCCCCGACATGGACTCTTGAACGCTAAATTGTGCCGTTCTCGGAAACCACGCGATTTAAATAGTCAAACCCATGCGACGACCGTTCGAACGCGAGAATGATGTGCGAGTGTGATACAGCGTCATACATAACTGGCTAATTTTTGATAAAGTAGGTACATTAAGTAAAAACGCGGGTTACTCACGTGAATATACTGAGAAAAGCTCTACTAGTTTCGAATCACAGAGTGAGCTGCGCGACGTCGCCGCGACCGCGCATGCTGCTCATGAGGAAGAACCCCTCTGTGGTTCGAAACTAGTAGAGCTTTTCTCAGCATACTCACGTGAGTAACCCGCGTTTTTACTTAATTTAGTATGTCTCACGATAGTTATTATAAAAACAAAGTAGGTACAGTCTAAATAATTTAAAATACTAACATTTTTAGTAATCGTTTTGTTGTACGCACAAAGTTGTGTTTACAGATTCTGTAAAGGATCTAGCTAGATGTCTAACTGAATCTAAATAAATGAATGTCCGGTTTTGAGTCAAAAAATAAATGGTTACGTTAGTTATACTGTAAGTTATTTGCCAAAAACCCTGTCATAAAATAGTGTCATGCTTATACGTGTATGATTAGCAAAAAAAGTAAACTGTGTCTTTAGCCAAACGTCACTTTAGCGCTTGTCTGCAGAGAGAGTAGAAATCAAAATGTACGGGAATGACACTGACAATTCTCAAAAATTAACGTCAATTCCATATAATTTATTTTTCTACTCTACAAGTAGACAAGCGCTAAATGGCATTTGGCTACAGCTGCAGAAGTTAGTAATGATATATGAAAGAAAGTAAAGAATGTCCTGTTATTTTATCCGTCCATATGTGCCAGTATCAAGCGTAAACATGAAAGTAAAAAAGTAATAAGTCGTAATTTACTATCTCTAATTTTGTAACTATGTACTTGCAAGATTAATTTGCGTTTTCTTTGTATAATTTTTACAATTTGCATGAGTATATAATCATTTACATACGCATATTTGTTATACATAACTATAGGCGTACACGCATGTACGGAATTAATTTCGTGGTATGTCTTCTGTCTAAAAGAACTACTCCATATTTTATTTATTTAATGTCTTGTATAGACTATACATTATGTATAATATGCTAAAAATATCTGCAAAATTTATTTTTACTCAACTTAAACTTGAATTATCGCAAAAAACAAAAGCTGTTATGCAAACCTATTCATTTAACGTCCACAAAATTATAACCGCGTACCACTAACAATTTAATAGACATGATTTCGGCCGCACACGCAACAAGTAATAATTTTCCAAAGCGCTTTAAATCTTATGTTCCACAAAGGTCAATTACAAATTATAGTGACCTCTTACGTCGATTTTTAAAAGTCTCCCGTGATATATAGTATTGGCGTGCTCGTCGAAATGGCGCAATTAACACCGTAGCGTTTAACCCCACAAAGATATATTGTTGTTTTAAATAAACCGCATTGATGAATGGCCTCTCGAGATTATCTTGTAACCCCACATTACAACAACCCTAAGAAACATTCACTTAAGGATCATTATCCCGAATACATACCGCAGCAACAAAATTGCTTGAACAATCTTCCAGACCGATACCTACTCGCCCGAATTTACTTGTACCTATATTAAAAACTTCAAAAAGGATATCGAAATTTTTAAATGACTTGCAATTTATGTGTTGTCCAATTTTGCGCCAATTTCGCGGCTTACGTAGTGCAATCGGGTTTATGCGTCGAGGTAACGCACAAAAAGCGTATGTATGTACATCGTAACGTCATAATAACGCCGAAGAAATGAATAATGATCGAGATTTACAGGTGCATTTAAATTCTTTTGTAAAAAAGATCCGTTAATATCGCAATGAGAATGCCAGGAAATGATGAATGACTTTTAAAAATAAAATTGGGTTATGTGTGATGAGTGGTTCATTATTTTGGTCTGTTGTTATGCAAGTAAGGACCAATGATAAAGCAATAATAAATAGTCTTACCTCACTAAGGAAGCTATCCAAATCTCGTATGTCGTAGCCAAATTTTCCATTTGGGGTTTTCTTCTTCCTCCTGTGCCGATGGCGGTGCTTTTTCCTGACGTACTCCTCTGTGCCCACACTAGTGTCCGAGTACGTGTCCTGCACGTTAGCAAACTCTTCACACGCATTCCTAAATCTAAGATTATGGTAATACTCATTACGTCCCACGACCCTATCTTTCACATCTCTCGGCTTGCACTTTCTGTAACGTTCGATTTCATTTGGCTTCTGATTGTGATTCTTATCTATTTCACTTTTTATGATTGTGTTTTTTACTCTATCTTCACTCTGGAACTTCTCACTAGTCAGTTTCGCATTCTCCAAATTTTC